TTTAAAAAAGCAGTGATATGCAGAACTGAATGAGTAGACCATACACAACACAAAGGAAAAATGCAAAATAATTAAGAACAGGTAAGAGAGAAAGTATTCAACATGATATAAAGGTAATGGATGGACAACATATCACCATCACCATTTGTATTTATTCATAAATAAAAGAGAACTATCCATTTTTAACAGAAAATGATAGTTTGTTTTAAACAAAAAGAAAATCTCAATCTATGCAGGGAAAAAAAAAGGCTTACTGGGAAACAAAAGATAAAAGTGTTCTGCTACAAACAAAATCAAGACAATTGAATAATAAACACTGGTTTGGGAAGATAGAAGGGAAGGGAAGGAGAGGGGAGAAGAAGGGAAGGGAGGGTAGGGTAGGGGAGGGGAGGGGAGGGGAGGGGGGGAGAGGGATGGGAACGGAAACGAGAAGATATAAAGGAAGATGTATCTGTTAGAACAATAGGAGAGGGGAAGGGAGGGGAGGGGATGAGAGGGTAGGGTAGGGGAGGGGAGGGGAGGGGAGGAGAGCTGGAGGCAGGGAGGGCAGCACAGATGACCTTCTATTCTGATTCTGTGGCAGCAACACTCAAGGGATTGAAAACCCTGGCTTTGAGGCCTCTGCACCCTCCCAGGGGATGCCCGAGGCCAAGCCCAGGCCCCCACTGTCCTACATGGCCCAGCGGCAGCCTTCTGAGTCCGGGCGGCACCTGCTATCCGAGCCCAGCACACCGCTGTCTCCTCCAGGCCAGGGGGACGTCTTTTTCCCATCCCTGGGTAAGCATTTCCTGACCCTCAGCACCGTGCCCTGCAAGGTCATGACCCCATGGCCTTACAGAGCATCAGCCTCACTCCCCAGCCTCCCTGGGGAGTCCTCACAGCCTCAGGGTGTGGGGTGGGGGTGAGGGACAGAGAAGTCCCCTTTCACTTTGCTTCTCCTTTCTTTTGCAGAGCCTGTCCCTGACTCCCCAAACTTTGACATCGTCTAGACCAGCTAGGGGACAGTGTGCAGTTGTGGCTGGTCTGGGGCAGGTGTATTTGAGCCAGGCCTGGCCCTCTCAGTGGCCTCGTTGGCCTTGTCCCTGGCTCCGTCCCTCCTGCTCTGAGTCCAGACTGCGACAGCCCTGATGCCCTCTGGGTGCTACAAGTGGGCAGGGGCAGATGCTGGACGGCTTGGCCCCTGCCCCAAGGATGCTGGGGTGCTGGGATTCCCTGCTAGAGACCTGAAATTCACCAGCTACAGACGCCAAATGACCTACATCCTAAAAAGACTCCGAACCTCCAGCTCAGCAGCAGCCTCTCTCCATGAGCCTCGGGACCTGGCAGCTTCCATAGGACTAGCGGTGCCACCCTCCTAGGCCCGAGGCTCAGGGCAAGATGTGGAGGGACTCTTCCCCGCTGTGGTGACCTGGCTCCCCCATGTCGCCCAAGGCTCCTCATCTGTCAGACCTACTCTTTGCCCCCATGGGGGCACTGGGGCTGGGCCTGTGTGCCTGGGCCCGCACCCGCCATCGGAGCTGTCCCCAGCTGCCTCCTACCAGCAGTTTCTCTGAAGACCTATCAACACATTAAGCCCATCTGGGGCTCCCACTGCCTGCATTCTGGTCCCCAGAGTTCAGTGGCCAGAGGCCCCCAGAACAGGAAGTACATACTGGGGCACAGTGGCCACTGTGAGCCAATTGGCGTCTTGGGCAATCCGCGGCCAGGCCAGAGGTTGCACCACCCACCGCAAGCAGCGGTGAGGGCAGGCGGGCAGGGCCTGCTGGGAAGGTGAGTGGAGGGGCTCCCCCTCCCGCCCTCCCCATCCTTGACTCCCACTGCTTAGCGTGGGCCATAGCAAGGGTGCCACATAACGTCTTGTCCACACCAGGACACTTCTGAGTGTGAAAGGGGGGTGCTATTAAAAACTACATGGGGCAACAGGTGTAAACCCTGTGGATAGACTGTAAGAGCTGGGCTCAAACCCCCACTCTGCTTCCGAAGTGCCCAAGGCCTCCCCACCCCTGCCGTTGGCCTTCCATTCCGGACAATCTGTGCCTGGCCTGGGGGGGAGCCAGGTGGGCGTGTTCCCATATCCTGTATCCGGCATGACCTGGATTTGTTTTTATACATGTATACAAGTGGAGTCCTTTGTGGAATTGTGACTGAAGGATTTTAAAGCATGGGAGAAGGGGGCTGGTCTCTGCATACTCTAGGCTGGAAACATGGAAGGAGGTGCCTGGGAATGGGGAGGGGTGAGGCGGGCTGGGCAGACCCCTTCTAGCTTCCAGGAGACAGGTGCCCTGGGCACTGTAGAGGGCACAGTCCCGTCTAGGCACTGGTCTTCTAGCAGCGACACTGGCTCTGCTGAGCTGGGCCTGGGGCTAGGACAGAGGGCCCAGCGGGCAGGGAGAAGCCTGCCCCTTTGCCGGGCATGGGGGTGCCGGGCATGAAGCAGCTCTGGGCTGTCTGGCAGCCGTGAGCCCTGGGCCTGCGGCTGAGGCCAGAGACTCCCACCTGGACACATGGCCCTGCTTCCGAGAGGCCTCGTTAGCCCAAAGGCATGGGCCACTGTCGGCCTCCTGCCGTGCTGGGCTGCACCGGGGAGCTGGGGGCTTCGAGATGGACCCACACCTTGAGTGGCCAGAACACTAAAACCCTCACTCATGCTTTGTCCCTGGGGTCCCCTCTTCTACTCCGTCTGCCTCCAAGAACCCTCAGTGCCAGCCGCTGTAGAAAGAGGGTGCTGTTCTGACAATTCACAGGGGCCACGGGCGGGAGCTGGGAAGTGACACCTGCTCCAGGGCGGGGCCAGGCTGCCCCTAGGGTCAAAGGACAAGCCTGCAGCTCAGGAAGCATGTGTGCCCTGGCCCCTGGGGACACTGGCCTGGCCCCAGCCATCAGCTGCTGACCTTGAGGCAGAGACAACTTCTAAGAATTTAGCTGCTAGACCCCAGGCTCAGCTGCTGTGCAGAAGGAGGGAGGTGGCCCGCAGCAGAACAGCCACCACACTTCCTCCCAAGCTTCCTCCTGCACAGCCTCGGCTCTCCTCTTCGGACCCTCCCAAGTGAACGCGTCTCAGCTTTGTGGCTTCCTGTTTTCAGCGAAATTTACTCTGCGCTCCCGGTTCCATCTGCATCCCTGCCCGTGAGCCCGGCGTGCGGCGAGCTGGGGACGCCCCTTGCTGCTGCCGGGGAGGGCCGGGCACTAGAGCAGCCCTGCATGTGGCCCCGGGATGGTGGTGCCTCAGATGCCAGCGCTGGTGGCTATGGGCTGGGGTGGACGGGACAGAGTGGAGAGCGGGGACATGGTGGCTGCAGGGGGGCAGGAGGAGTGCTGGGGCCTGGAGGAGGAGGTTTGCTTGGGAGCGGGGCAGGGCTGGGGCAGGAGGCTCCAGGTTTCCGGCAGTGTCCGAGGCCCCGGGGCCCTCTGTGTGTCTAGGAACTAGTTCATTGTTAGGAGATCAATCAGGAATTACAGGCTGCCTTAACTATCTCCCGACATGCACACTTAATGGAGACTTCCTGCCTTTCTTCCCTCCAAGGGAGGGGCCGAGGGAATGGGCTCTGAGGCACCATCAGGAGAAGTTTGCTGACGCAGTGGGGGCTGCTTGGCACTCCCCAAAAACATGCCATGGAGGCCGCTGGTGACTGCTGCTGGTCAGGCTGGCCCTGCCCGGAGAGGCTGTGGTGATGGGCGCTAGGTGGGCGTGCAGGAGCCCGAGACTTGCTTCTCAAAGGCCCCTGCCTGGCCAGAGCTCCCCTGCACGCAGCAGCTCAGGGCCTGGGCAGAGGAGCTGATGCATGGCCTTCGTCACGGGTGCTCCGTGCTGGGGGACTCAGGAGGATACAGTGGGGCTGGGGGCTGCAGAGGTCCTGCCACCCACCCACCACCACCAACTTGGGCACTGTAGTCCTGCCTCATGGAAGAGGCCTTCCCGGTGGCAGCTGGAGCACTCCAGGGCTGGCCCAGCTGTGCTGGGGCCTGGGGGAGCATTCGCTCAGGGAGCTGCAATGGGCAAAAGAGGAAGTGGGATTGCCGACCAGGATGCTGGGTACAAAGGCCTCTTGAAAAACAGACACTCACAGCCCAGCAGAGCATCTGGCCCAGCTGGAGAGAGCACTGGCCGCCTGGCCCGTTCGCTGGGCTGATTTGCACCGTTGCTCCTCGTACCCAACATGCACCGTGTCTCCCTTACTGTTCGTTCTGTGAGTTCTGGAGGGCAGGGTTCAGTAACAGGGTCCAGTAACTGGTCCAGGGTCCAGTAATAGTCTGGCCTTTGCACTTTGTTGCAGAACTGGTAACTGACACACGGCTACTGCATGCTGGGCAGGCCACCTGCGACCTCCCACCAACTCCGGTCCCTAGCAGCTCTGCCTGGGCCTGGCGGGGCCTCCGCAGCACTCATGATGCCCTGAGCCTGTGCGGGCCAGGGGCAGATCTTTCATTTCCCCTTGCGATTCTGATCTATTGGATGGCTTCCTGGAATATATTTAATATGTCGAGAGGGATTCTGAAGTGTGAATATAGCTTACTGAGACAGTGCTGCGATGGGCCAACGATGTCTGCCTTGCGCACAGGACAGGGACGTGGCAGCATGCGTACCGTATCTTCGCCTTTTCTGTTGTCATAGTCTGTCCCTTCCAAAACATTTTCACCTGTGTTACTGCTTGTTTCCCCCAACTGTCAAAAATCCTGGAAGGTTTTACCATTCCCATTTAATGCACAGGGAAATTAAGGTTCTGAAAGGTTTGTGTCTCGGCAAAACAAGTGAATGGTGGAACTGGGACCAGAGCCCAGGTCTCCTGCTTCCCAGGTCTGTGCTCCTTCCTCGTCACTGAACTGAATGGCGTCACGGGCCAGGGCTGGCTTAGCCTTCACCTTGGACTTGCCTAAGTGCATTCCAGGCCCTGGGAGATGAACCTGTGCCTACAGGTCCATGGCCCCACCTTACTCCACACCAGAAATATTCCTACTGTGCTCTGCTTGCCCTGCCTGGGCTTCTCATGGATCCAGAAGACCCTGCTGCTGTCGTGGAGGTGCCTTCCACGTCAGCTCCTGTCACCCCCTTTTCTGCCTGGCAACTGGGAATCCACAGGACTCCCGAGAGGCGCCGTGGCCCATGAACCCCTCATGCTTGCATCAGAGCATGAGAAACCCTCAGCCAACCACCGAGTCCCTGGGTCTCCTGGAGGGACTTAGCCAGTTGTATGTGCAGCATTTGGGCAGCTGCAGAACGTCCCTCAAGAAGCCAGGCTAAGGGAAGAGTCTGGATTGATTCGTGCTGGTCCTCCTTGGTGGACAGCACAGGGAAAGGGCCAGGCTGGGGTTTCCCGACCTTAAGCCAGGGGAAGCAGGGTTCACAGTGGGAGCAGGGCCCAAGTTTAATAAACAGAAGAGCCCGCTGCCCTCAAGACACAGGTAAGCTGCTAAGACTGTCATGGGGCTACCCTTGGGAACTCATGGACAGAAAGGGGTACTGAAAGATTTTCTGTCCTTCTGCCTGGACAGGTGACTTCTGCAGGTCTCCCTAGCCTGAGAAGGCTGGCCCTGTTATCTGAGATTGCATTATTTACTGGCTGTTACTCATATGTGCCAGGGAGGCCACGGCTAGGCCCTTCCTTCCTCCCTGCCCCCTGCCAAAGTGCCTCTGAGGCTGGGCTCAGCTCCTGACCTCCCAGTTGCCTTCCGTCCTTCCTCCCGGGGCACAGCCCTTCCTTCGCAGGGGCCTCCCTGACAACCACTGAGACCCCTCCCCCAGGTCTGGCTTCCCTGCCCTGGCCTGGAACTAGCCATGGGCCCGAGGCTGCACAATGACTTCCCCTGGCCGGGTGGCACGCCATTGTGTGGTGGGCCTGGGGCTGGCCCGGATGCCCCTTGCAGCACAGCTGTTCGGAGCCCGGGTGAGACGGGCTGAGGCTGGGTGGGGGCGGCCCAGGCTGTTCGCAGCAAAGTCCAGCTCGCAGGAAGCTGGGGGGAGGAGGATCTCAGAGAGATAAGTAGAGATGGCGGGGCTCAGATATAGGATTTCTCTTGGCTTTTGGCAGGCTCTTGGCAACTGAAACCCAGGTCCCCTGCATAGAGAAACTCGTCTTTTAAGACAGTGATATGTAACCCTAACACTTGTACCCCCATAATACGCTAAAAAAAAAGACAGTGATGCAAACGATGCCTCCTCCAGGAAACCTCCCCTTGCTCCCAGCTCTGAGCTCCTAGCACTCCGCTACATGCCAGCGTGCCAACTCTGCTGCACGTCCCTCCTCCACCAGACTGGAGGCCACCGGAGGGCAGACCTGTGCCTGACACATCTCTGGCTTCCCAGCCTCCAGTTCAGGCCTGGCACATAGTTGTCAGATAAATGAATAAATGAATCTCGTGTGCCCTTGTCCTGCAGGAGGGCTGATCCCGTGCCAGAGAGGGCTGGCTTGAAACCAGACAGATAACTGCAGGTGAGAATAAAAGGGTGGTGTGCGGGCCTGCCAGGTTTCTCTGGACAGATCTGTGCAGGGTGGTACTTGCCCTCTGACCCCTGGTAGACTGTGGCCACCCTTCCTGGAATCTGAGGACGGCTGGCCTGATGCTGCTCGGGGCTCTGGTTGCTCCAGGAGAGGCTGGGATAATCCTCCTGCCTCACACACCCATTCAGTGAAATATCCCCAGTGACGGAGAAGGGCCCTGCTCTGGTCACTTCTGGCATGGTCCTTGGCTCTGTCCTTGGGGATACTCATGACCCTGACAGGGGTTCACTGCCCAGAGGTGAGGATCTGGTGCTCTTTGGCGGCAAATGCCAATCACGGCAGGCATTGACTGCAGGCCTCCAGTTGCCAGCTTCTGCCCCGGCCCTCCCTGGCTTAGCCAGGCTAGGAGAGAATGGAGGGGGCTCTTAAGAAGGCAGTGGGGCTGCGGTGAGCTGTGACCATGCCACTGCACTCCAGCCTGGCGACAGAGCAAGACCCTGTCTCAAAAAAAAAAAAAAAAAAAATAATAAGCAATGAAAGCTGGTTTTAAGTCCATGAAATTAGGAGGAAACGGACGCCAACTGATATATAAAAAAAAAAAAAAAAGGCCAGGTGGAGTGGTGGCTCACACCTGTAATCCCAGCACTCCGGGAGGCTGAGGCAGGAGGATTACTTGGGCCTAAGAGTTTGAGACCAGCTTGGGCAACACAGAAATACCCCGTGTCTACAAAAAAATTTTAAAAATATTAGCCGGGCATGGTGGTGCATGCCTGTAGTCCCAGCTGCTCGGGAGGCTGAGGCAGGAGGATCACTTGAGCCCCGGAGTTTGAGGTTGATGTGAGCTAGGCTGACACCACAGCACTCTAGCCTGGGCAACAAAGCAAGACCCTGTCTCTAAATAAATAAAAGAAAATAGGTAGCGAGACCAACCTTTGGGGTGAACCCCAAATAGACCGTCACAGGGGGGCTGTGGACAGAGAGCCCTGCCTGCTCTGCTCTGATGCTGCCGGGCCCTGAACTGCCTGCGGCTTCCAGAACCTCCCTCTGATCACTGCCTGCTCTTGGGCCTTTGTTCGAGCTGATCCCCAGAATATGTTTGTCGCCTGGCTGTGCTGACCGTGACTGGCTGGCCGGACGCAGCCCGGGTGTCAGCTCTTCCAGGAGGCCGTCCCCAAGCTCTTCCTGCACTGTGGCCTGCACATGGATGTCCTCGCGGCCTTCCTTACTCAGCCACATCTCTTCAGGCCATGGACCTCATTGTCGTCCTCTACCTCCAGTGCCTGGCACACAGTGGGCACTCGGGGAACAATGGCCGAATGAATGAGTGGATGAATGAATGAACAAATATGGTCTCGTGCTAGTGTCTCAAACTACGTTCCTATGGTCACCGCAGTTCTTCACTGAGGTGTCCCCTGCAAAAACTAGCTTGAAGAAAAAGGAGGAAAAATTGCAGAAGGGCTAGATTCTTTGCAACTGAAATTTTTTTTCTTATAAATCTGTTTCAAGTTGGAACCCGTTGCTGTGGGTGCCAGAATGGCAGGGACCGGCCTGCGAGGAGGTGGTGCTCATGGTCCCCATGGGGCTGGGACAGTCTCTGGCTGACAGATGGAAACTCTTTCTGGCCATGGAGACCACTCCTAAGTTTTTGGGGACTGTTGGATAGTGGTCCGCCTATTCTGGGTGTGTAAATATGGCTGGGGTGATTCCCCATTTCTTCAATTCCTCTTTTTTCTGGGAACCAAGAGGAAGCCCGATTTTGCCTCCAAACCTCAGGGTCCTAGGATGTATGTGTCCCACCAACTGCCGCCCCGGGAAGCTCTAGGACTGTGGCGGTGGGAGTGGCGTGCTCCCTGGCCTATGTCAGGGTTGGGGAGGGCAGGGTGGCAGCCACTGTCACATTTTGCCTCACCCCAATTCTATTCTCTGCCCTTTCCTCACTAGCAGTGTCTGCTTTTGTGTGGGGGCAGTGATGTATCTGGCCTCCAAGTAATAAGGCAATTATGAAAATCTTGTACCTCATTTTTTCTAATCCCCTTTGTATCTGGGGTACCCATATGACACAACTCTGGCCAAGGAGACGTAAACAGAACTCTGGAGGGTAGTTCTGCTTTCCTCATAAAGGGGCAGAAGTGGTTGCCCTATCTCTTTGTCTTTTTGTCATCTTCTTGCCTTGAATGCTGGCATGATGCCTGGAGCTGTAGCAGCTATCTTGCAACCAGGAGGGAAAGGCCAAGAACATTAGTGCTGACATCACTGAGCATGAAGTCAACATTCACAATTCTCTCCAGAGTTTTTGTTACATGAGAAAATGCATTCAGATTTATTTATGGCTCTATAGTTAAGTTTCTGTTACTTGTAGGCAAATATATCACAGACGCTGTTTAGAGGGATGATCACAAGATGAGCCACTCGGAAGCTAGGTACAGTTGGGGAGGGGTTATGTCAACACTGGGTCCTTCTATGTTACCAGAAGAAATGATACCCTGACCTGCCTCACCCCACCTGCCCAGTTAGTTTCATGTGTCCTGTCAGAGTGCCTCCTTTAGCCCATGGGTGTGAACGGCTGAAGTGATTAGTGGTGACACTGGGCATCCCTGGGGCTGAGGATACCCAGGGGGGTTGCCCAGAGCTGGTCTCATTTTCTGGGCTCCTCAGAAGGTGATGGGGGCTTTCCTGGGATTATTGGCCTAATTTCTACCAACATCCCCAGAAAGAGCCCAGCCTAGACCTGGTAGTGTGACTCCACCTCCCACAGTGCTGTTGGCAGAGGGGAGGGGTCTATCAGAGTCACCTGTGGGGGGTGGAGGGGTGGGGACAGAGCTGAGGGCTCATTCACAATCAGGATCCCTTGGGGAGACAGATGCAGGATGTCCCAAATCTTCTACCCACTCCTTGCAATGTGACTTTGCAGGTCACTCCTTAGAAAGGTGGCGCCTATTTCCCCATATCTTGAATCTGGGCTGGTCTCGTGGCTTGCTGTGGTTACCAGAGTGTGGCAGAAGTGACTTTGTGCCAGCTCCAAGCCAGGGACTCGAGAGGCCTTGCATGCCTCTGCCCCCTCAGGACCCTGCCCGCTCCGCGTGCACAGGCATGGGCTTTGCCTTCTGGAGGAGGAGTTGCCCCTGTCACCCCAGCCGACAGCCAGCAGACCCCGAGAAGCACAGCTGCCCAGTGACACGCCGCTGACCACACACGGACGGAGGATTCCCACCGAGACCAGAAGAACAGCCCGGCTAAGCCAGGTCTGAATTGCCAGCCTGCAGAACTAGAGCTAAATAAGTTGTTGTTTTACACCTCTGTGTATTGTTCTGTCTATAATGCAGCGTTATTGTGGCAATAGATAGCTAATACCATCCTCCTCCTCATGGTTTACCAAGTGCTTCCAGACATGAGCTCATTTGATTCCCCAAACAACACCTATGAGGTAGATGCTATCTCTCTTTTGCAGATGACAAAACCGATATGCTCAGAGGTTCTGACTTGCTCGTGCTCATGCAGCCAGCTCGCAGTGCTCCTGACTCCAAACTGCCCGGTCTCAATTTACAAACCACGCCCACGGCAGTTCATCACCCCGACAGTCACCCAGCCCAAGGCCACCCCGCGCAAACCTTGAGCAGTGGCCTTGTTCATTCGAGCATCGGCCTGAATCACGGATGTCGGTCCCTTCCCACCCTGACGTGTTGTGACAGCATGTCACCCCACATGACGTGAGGAAGAGGGCCAGAGGGGCACCTTTCCCATAAGGCACCACGGTGCACAGCTGGGCAGGCAGAGCAGGGGCTGGGTTCACACCCGCTTGCTCCCTGGGCCGGCCCGATGCAGAAGCTCAACCTGCGTCACCCCGTTGCGCTGCTCTGTGAGGACCCAGAGGACTAAATCGAGAGTAGCTGCCGCCTCGTGAAGGGGCACCCAGCTCTGCGCACCACAGGCCCTCCGTAGGCGCGCGAGGGCTCACGATGAAGGCAGAGCTGGCCCGTCCTCCCCTCCGTCCCGCCACCCTGCCACTCACCGACAGGGTGGGGGTGCCCTCGTCCTCCACGGTCACCACCAGGTGGTAGAAGCTCTGGCGCTCCCTGTCGGGCGGGGCGGGCCTCGTGGCGATCTCACCGCTGATGCGGTCCATGCGGAAGGTCATGTCCTCGTTGCCCGCGGTGATGTAGTAGGACAGCACGCTGTTGATCCCAATGTCACGGTCGGTGGCCCTCACCTGGACCACGGCAGTGCCTCCGCCCACGTTCTGGGAGGAGAGCAGGTGCGTGGTCACTCGGGAGTCGCGGCGCTGGGGGCAAAGTCCCGCACCTGCCCCCCGCAGCCCAGCGGCTTCCCCGGACCTCGAGAGAGCTTTGCCGTCCACCCTGGGGCCACGCGGAGGATGGCAAGGGCGGCGGCGGCGAACATGCTGTGGGCACCAACTACGAGAGGACTCCTCTCTACAACCCATGAGGCGGGTACTGGCGCCGCCCCCACTTGCAGGGGAGAGGACTGGGGTGTGGGCAGGAGCGTGTGCAAGTCCACGCAGCCCACCGTGGGCCGGGCCGGGGTGTGTGGCCCGAGAGACGGACCTGTCTCATGCCATCCTGACTCATGAACGTCCACCCTGGCATGACACCCAGCAACGGCCGGGCGAAAATTCTCCTGGAGTGGCTCAGGCTTAGGACTGAATGATAGATACATTTTTTTATAATATAAAAAATAAGATTTCTTTTTATAATAAAAGCAGTTGTCCCGAGGTAAACTTCCGTGTGACTAGGAATGAGCCACAGCTCCCAGCCCCAAGACCTGAGGGACCAGGTGAGCCAGGCAGACACTGAAAAAGGTGCTTCATGGTTGGCTCACACCACTGTCCCCCGCTCTGTCCAGCTGTATGGACGCCAGAGCTGCGCTCACCTCGTTGACGCTGACATTGTATCCAAAGGGGCTCTCGATCACCGGAGGGTTGTCATTGACGTCCAGGATGGTCACCTGGAGGATGTGGTCCTTCTTCCGTGGGGGGGTGCCACGGTCGGAAGCCACAACCTGTGTGGGGGGAGGATGACTGGAGTGAGGGCCAAAGGGTGGAGGAAGACCAGGAAGACCAGGGTGGAGTCTGAAAGGGCTGTCCCCTTGGTGGGGAGGACTTGGGAGGGCAGAGAGACTCACTGACCCACCCCTGCCCGTGGGTAGCCTGGCCAGCCCTGGGCTCTGCCCAGAGCTTTTACCTTCTGCCCCACGCTGTGACCAATCCTAGCCTAATCCTTGTCTGACTTGGGACCCTCATTTAGAACCTGACTCCAGAGTGCCCAAGTCTTTACCTTCTGACCTACCCCGGACTGTATGCTGGGCTGCGCCAGCCCCTGAATCTGACCCCGGACCTGCAAACTGACTCAAGGCTCCTGCCTTTAGCTTCAAGGGCCCCTGTCCCATGCACTTGGATCTGGACTCTGGCCAATAAGGAAAGAGCCTCATAGAAGCTTCTCACCAATGAGCTAGAGTCCTGACCATGGGCCAAGCCTGTCCCTGGGAGCCCCGAGCTGCCCAGATGGCCACAGGGCAGCAGCGAGTGAATGGGAGCTCAGGCCCTTTCAGGAGTGCAGCCCCGAGGTCCCTAGAGAGTCTTTGCAAACGTGCCAGCCACAGCGATTCTGCAATAATGGTGGCCTTTGTGGCTCCTCACACCTGCACTTGTTTCTCACCCCGGCAGAGGCAGGTCAAGTGGGTTTTTTTTTTTTTTTGTACATTGCACAGATGGGAAAACTGATGCCCAGACAGAGTAAATAACTTGCCCAAGGTCACATTGTGTTTGTGGAAGGGATGGGGCTCTCCCAGCTCCACTAGACCTTCCCCCCTGGCTCTTAGGGCAGGGACAGACACCTCAGCTGCTTCCTCCCCGGAACCCAGAGACCACCCCCTCCTGGGTCGCCCTCTCCGGGTCAGCCGCACGGTGCTCTCGGCCCTGAGGGGTGCAGCTGGGCCCCTGTGACTTGGTGACAGCAGGAAGCTGGCCAGCCGGGCCAGCAGCCAGCTCTCAGCCAGAGAGGGGCAGTCCCCACCTTGAGGATATAGTGGTCCAGCTCTTCTCTGTCCAGGGGCCTGGCCACAAACACTTCCCCAATGGAGTCGTTGGTGGTGACGATCTCAAAGGCCCCAGCGATGTTGCCAGAGGCCAGGGAGAAGAACACCTGTCGGGAAGGAGAGGGGGGGAATGGTGAGGCGGGGAGACATGGTGGCCACATCAGGCCAAGGGGACCTGCCCCTGCCCACCCGGGCCCTCTGTTCAGAAAGGGTGTTTAGGAACACAGTGTTTTTGCAGACATGACTTATGTCCCTCAAAATGGGTGCGGCCCACCTAGCGGGGTGGTGCCAGGCCTGTGGCGGGCTCCTGGGCCTGGGGGATGTCGGCATGCTGGCCTGGGACAACCGGGCAAGGTCACACAGTTTGCAAATGCTGAAGAGATTTGAGCCCACATACTTGTGACCCAAAGCCAGCGTGTCTCGGCCCCAGAGGCGTGCAAGCCATCTTTCACACCTCCTCAGACACGTCGCCCGATGCACAGAACAGATAGGTGCAGTGTGAACATTGAGGCGCTTCTCCTGCGCTCTGGGGTGTCCCGGCCTGGAGCGGTGGGGACTGCGTCCTGCTGCGGGCGTGGTATGTCCTCCAAGGGGCCTGGGCCGTGGGGAGGCTGGCCCCAGAGCTGGCACGTAAGGAGCAAGGTACTGCGTGCTTTGCGGATATGGTGACGATGGAGTCGCCGGGAGAATGTAGCCTTACTGGGGGGCTGGCCTTCAGGCTCCACGCCCCCTTGCCCCAGGCAGGGCCGCCGCCTGCACAGCTCCGGGCAGCTGCGCGCCTCCTCCCTGACCGAAGACTGGGATGGGCGCAGGTGCCCTGCTCAGGGGCAGAGCCTGCATGAGCCTCTGCTTGGCGCCTGGTGACAGAGACGGCTGAGATGGCCTCTCTGCCTGAGCAGCTGTGGGGGCCCCACCGACAGGGTGGCCCTGGCTGTCACGCTGGGTGCCCACCTGCCCGTTGCTGCCAGCGTCGGGGTCCCGGGCCTTGACTGTAGCCACTCGCTGGCCCACAGGGCAGTCCTCAGGCACGCTGACCGCCGAGTCGGAGGTGAAGTCAAACCGGGGGCTGTTGTCATTCTCGTCCAGCACGGTGATGTAGACCTGGGGGCGAATGTGGTCAGAGACCTGCCACCTCCTCCCCCTCCCTGGCTCCAAGCACCTATGCCCTGGGGGGTCCAGCTGGGACCAGAGTCCTGGTCAGTTCTGGAACATCAGCGAGCTTTCAGAGCCCACCTCGGCGGATCCTGATTTACAAAGGGGGCCCCCGAGCCCATTTTCCCCGGGCAGTCTGGGGGAGACTGGGTGCAGCACACACTCAATACTGGGGGCAGGAGGGCGAGGGGAGGGGACAAGTGGGGACACCCCCAGAGGTGGTGGGGACGGAGAGAACTGGCAAGCCTGGCCCTGGCTAGAGGGGACGGAGACTGGGAATGCTGGCCTGGTATTGGCATAGCTTCCTGTTTTTCAAAAGAAACAAGGAATCCAGATTTTTAAGTGAAATTGGCTGACGAGTAATAAAATAAAGAAGAAAATGATGTGTGGGCTGACTAAAACACATCTAGTGGCCAGACACTGCCTGAAGGCCTCCTTGTTGGCTACCTCTGGGTCAGAGAGAAGGAATGGGCCCAAGGACAAGACAGGCCGCAAGGTGGCCTGGTGGTCCCTTTGGGGAGAGGGGCAGATGGGAAAGGCAGGTGAAGTCCAATTGCCCGATAATAACCAGGCGGATGCACACTGCACACAAGGGCAAAGTGTCACGGCCATGGCGCGGGCGGGCCGGTGAGCCCGGAAGGAAGGCCATGGTGGCTGATGCCTGCAGCCCACGGACAGCCACAGGCCACCGAGGCTGAAACCCCAGGCACCTGGCGTTCACTGACATCACACAAGTGGGGCTGGAGGAGGTTCAGGTTCTAGGATTCCCCGGGCTGGCCTCCTCCCACCTGCAGCCCCCGGCCAGCCTCTGGGGCACTTGGGCCGCCATTGTGGGGGAAATGCCACTTCATCCTCTCTCCTGGCAGCTCCGCCTCTCAGTTCCAGCCATGCTCCCGCCTTTAGGGCAGCAGTCGGAGCCTTAGGGGAGCGAGCCTGGCCTTGCAGCAGGACCACCTCCACCCCTCACCAGCTGCGTGATTTCTGCAAAAGTTATTCAAGCTCTTCGATTTGCTATTTCCTCGGCTGGAGAACGGGTGAGACCACCCACCACACTGGGGTGCTGGGAGGAGTAAGTGAGCAGACAGAAAGTTGAGGGGTGTGCATTGCTGTCCCTGTGTCCCTTCCTGCCCGGCACACATGCATGATTCCCCTCACCAGGCCTCTGCCTATCTGTCAGGAATTCTGGTTAGGGAGCTCCCTGAAGTCCCAAGCCCCGGCCTGCTCCCTGTGATATGGGAACGACAATGGCCACCACACTGTCCTTACGGCCAAAACAGACGGGCCCCTGTGATCTGATCCCTCCCAAACCCCTTCACTCCCGTCAAGGCCTTGTTTTGGCTCGCTGTGTTTCCATACACCACAGGGCCTTTGCACATGCTATTCCCACTGCCAGAAATGCCCTTCCTTCTTGGCCGCATTAACTCCTATGCATTCTGCAGATTCAGCTAGAGGCACTTCCTCGGGGAAGTCAAGGAGGGTGTCTTATTATAGGCTGTCTCTTGGGGAATCCAGTCACTGGTGTGATCATTCGTGCAATGGCTTTCTCCCACTATACCTCATGCTCGGGAAGGCAGGTGCTGTGTCTGTTTCGGTTTCCCGCTGTAGCCTGAGCCCAGTGCCTGTTCCCCCCACGACCACTACTCTGCTCGTGATGCTGACTGCGGGGCAAGGGGGAGGGCTGCTGGGCCTCAGTGGGCCGGGAGTGGGCACAGGTGTCCAGGTCTTTGGAATTAGATAGGAGTCTGTGTCCCGCCCGCGGCCTCTGGTCCACTCTTCCCTCCCCCACCCCTGAAGGCCTGAGGGTGCTACCCAAGAGCTCTGACAGCAGAGCCATTCCCCGCCCTTCCTGTCTGCCTGCCCACCCCTCCCAGGCCCCAGGGCCTGCCTGAACAGGGAGGAGGCAGGTGGAGGTGAGCTGTGGTTTGCTCCGGGCTCCCAGAGGAAGCCATGCTACCTTTAAAGGGCCCCTCCCCCTGCCTCCACCCTAGCACCTCTCAGGGCGTTTGGGGCTACCAGGGTGGCGTATCTGGGGCAGCGGCACCTAGGAGCCTCTGAGAGGAAGCCAGGGCAGAACAAAGGGGGGTGGCCCTGTTTCCTGGAAGACAGTGAAGTGACTGGAAACACAGGGGCCCTAGCGGGAGTGTGCGCTCTGAGGCCCTCGCCAGCCAGGCAGGGGAAGTGGCTGCCTGGCCCACGGAGGGGTCATCCCAGCCATCCCTGCCGCCTTCCTCCCAGACTCCTCGCGACAGCCCAGGGGTGCAGGCCAGTTGGGCCCCGTGGTGGATGAAGGTGTGAGGCTCACTAAGGCCCACTCCGCCTCCAGGAGTCTGAGTCCCTCTGGCCGGGCAGCTGGGAGCCTCGCAGGAGCTGCAGGTCACTGCACTGCCCACCAGCCTGTCTCTGGGTCGGGGGAAGGCCTGGGGCCACACAGGGCTGACCAGCCTGGCCATAGTGACGGCACGGGGGCCCGGTCCGCAGGCTACTCACCTTCTGCAGGCAGGGTCGGCAGGAGGAGCGCAACGGGAGAGAAGACAGAGATGAGGATGGTTAGCGTCTGTGCTCCTCCAGACCCGCTCCCGCCTGTCTGAGGTCCCATCCTGGCCCAGGCTGCCGGGAGATGAAGTGCGGCCGGCCACAGCGCCGTCCCTGGGCCAGCTGTGAACACCCTCGCCCACTGCTGGCCCGCAGGTGGGGCAGCTGGTGGAGCTGTGGGTTTAGAGGTGTCTTGGGGGTGATGGGCTGGACCTGTGGGGCTCACGCCCGGGGACCCACTTACCACGGTGGAGTCCACCTTGGGGCCGCCATCGTCGGCCACCACTGTCAAAGTGTAGAAGTCGCCCTTCTCCCGGTCCACCAGGCCCTTGACTGTGATCACACCCTGCAGGAGGGGGGCAGGCGGGTGAGTGACAACATCGCACCCACATCGATCCTGACCTTCCTGCCCACGTTCCCACCTCCACGTCACTCCCTCTGCCCGGCATAACTTCCCCACGAAGCTGTCGGCTGAAACCCTACTTCTCCCTCACATCCCACTCGGAAGCCACCTCTTCCGTGAAGCGTCCTGCTTCCGCGGCAGGGAGGACTGCCGGCTTGCTCGGGCCCCAGAGGTGCTCCGTGCTACCTCCACCGTCGTCTTGTCACACCTGCCCTGTGGCGCTGCGACGTGCATCCTTGATCTTGCCCACTTCCACGCTAGTGAGAACTCCCTGAGGGCTGGGCAGGGCCTCGTGCACCTTTGCGTTTGTTTGTGATCCCAGCATCCTCCGAGACGAGGCCTGGCACACTGCAGTGACTCATACCTCGCCTCTTTTCAAAGAAGGGGTTCTGATAAAGACGCTAGAGCACAGACGAGGAGTAAGAGCTTGGCCGCAGATGCGAGACGGGAGCCTTGCTAGGAATAGCCACTGCAGTGAAGCGCAGAATTTGTACCTGAGCTTCCTAACAGCCAAGGTCAAAGGGGAAATACGATGACTTGTACAGCTTTGTGATATAGTAAGAAATATGTATTTGGTCTCTGTCCCTGGTTCCTGGCACAGAGCTCCTAATCCCTTGGTCTCTCCTGGGTGATAGGAAGCTTTTGGTCTAAGGAGGCAACTCTTGGTGGGCTCCTGGATGGGCGCTGGTCCCCAGAAAGCCCAAGCCATGGTCTTGCCATGGTTAGCAGTTTGGACCTTTCAGCCCCACCCCCAGCCCATCCTCCAGGAGAGGGAGGGCGGGGGATTGAGTTGTTAATCGACCATGCCTCTGTGATGAAGCCTCCACAAAACCCTGAACTGCAGGCTTCAGACTGCTGAGCCCCTGGCGGGACACGAAGGGTGGAGTGCCTGGGGAGGGTACGGAAGCTCCCCGCCCCTCCCCCATACCTTGCTCTCTATATCTCTTCATCCGCCTGAGTGTACCCTCAAATATCCTTTGTAATTAATTGGCAATAATAAGTAACATGTTTTCCTAAATTCTGTGAGCTGTGCTAGCAAATTAATTGAACTTGAGAAGGGCGTCATGGGAGCCCTGATTTACAGCCAGTTGGTTAGAAGCACAGGTCACAGCCTGGGGCTTGCGATGGCATCTGAAGTGGGGACAGTTTCTCGGGGCTGAGCCCTCAACCTCGGGCTGGGACACTATGGTGTCTGCTGGAGAACCGGCTGGTGTATGGGAGGGACGGAGCTCTTAACCTGTGGGATCTGATGCTAAATCCGGGTAGAAATGTCCAGAATTGAACTGAATTATAGCACAGCCAGCAGGTGTCCAGAGAGTCAGAGGATGGGTTGTTGGTATGAGGGAAAAACCCGCACTTATTCTGGTGACCAGAGGTAAAACATTCTATGGTGAGTGTGAACATAGAAGGAAAAACAATTGGCTTTTCCTGTTACAAACTTTCACTGTCTAGCAACAAGAAGGACACCAGGCAGCTACACACTAAAAGGCATGTGCTACAGGGATGTTCATCTCAAGGACACCTTAGGTCAAACTGGAGAGCGCCGTGCATGTAGAAGGCGCTCGGTGAGGGTTGGTAGGACTTAGAGGCTACCTGCCCCCCCGCAGCCCCCTCACCGTGACCGCATCGATCTTGAAGAGCGCTTTGGCCTGGGCGCTGGTGTAGGCGTCGAAGCGGTAGGTGATCTGATTGAGGTTGTCGATGGAGTAGGCCTGGACCCGCACGACCTCGGTGCCCAGGGCCAGGTTCTCCAGGATGGCGGCCTCGTAGGAGGCGTTGGAGAACTGCACGGCCTCGTCCAGCTCGTTGAGCAGGGTGATGTAGACGCTGCAGAAGCCCTGGTTGAAGGGGGGTGCCTGGTCGGTGGCAGACACGTTCATCAGGTAGCTGGTCTTGGTCTCGTAGTCCAGGTAGTCCACAGTGATGATGAGCCCCGTGCTCTCGTCGATCTCGAACTTCCCCTCTGCACCCGACAGGATGCGGTAGTTCACCAGGCCACCATCCCCTGCAGGACACAGAGGCTGTGCAGTCCCGGGGCGGTGGGCGGGGCTGCCCTGTGGCTGCGGGCCAGGGCTGGTCCGCTCAGCACGCGCTGCCCCACCTCTGTGGGCCGGATCATCCCCACAGACGTGGAAGAGACGGGTCAGGGTCAGTGTGGACGGCAAGGTCCAACACACACTGGTGACCCCTCCTCGGGGGCCTGGCCCTGGCACCAGAGAGATGCCAGAGATGGTCGGTTCTGCTCCAGGAGCCTCAACATTCAAGCTCAAGCCCCTCCCTTCGACATTTGGACAAATAGAGGGAGGAGTAAGGACCTCTTGCAGTAGGGGCTTTGATCTAGAAAGTGCTAGCTAGATGAGGCAGCAGGCTCAGGGAGGGCCAAGCCTTCATTTGGTTCCTCTGATGGAAGGGTTTTGGTGCCAGGGACACCTTCCCTGTGTTCCCCATGCCCTACACCCCACATTCCTGTGCCTTGGAACACACCGTTCGACCGGGAGCTAGAGCTGAGATTCCTTAAGCTGAATTCATCGAGGGGAGGACAGGAAACCACTAGGGGAATCCAAGACTTCTTGAAATTACTTGCAAAACTCTGAAATGGGTGCGCATTTTCCTGCAGAGAGGACCCGTAGCTTTCACGGGTTTCTCAAAGGGATTCCTGACCCAGAAAAGGCCATGCACCACTGGGCCGTAGCAACATATGTGACCTAACGTGTATTAACATGTCCCTTAGGGAGAAGAGTCCACCTGTGAGTTTTCAGACATGTTTCTCCCTCCGCCCTGTCGGTGCTGCAGGTGGGCAGGAGGTGCAGAAAGGGGGGCTTGGGAGCTGGCAGTGTCTGACATGAAGGGAGAGCAGGAGCTCAGGGAGCCCCTCTGGGGGTGGGGGACCCCCAGAAAGAGCTCCTCTCTGGATGTGTCCCTGGCTGGGGTGCAGGTGGACAGCCCAGGCCCCACAAAGAGGTCAAGGAGACCAGGCGTGTTTCTCCTTTGTTTTGCATTGCTGGTCGTAGCCACGCCTGGGGGCTCGTGACCTCGGCGAGGTTCAGGCCGCCTCCAGGTCACACCACCCTGCAGAACAGGAAGGGCAGTGCCCCTTGAGGGTCTATGTGCCCGGCCCTGAGCTGGCCCTGTGGGACATGGAGCCATGGCTGGCTGGAGGAGCAGGTGGCAGGCGGCCTATACCCCTCCCAGCCCTACCCAGTGCCTCACCCAGGGCCAGCAGGGAGCTGCCAGGCCTGGGATGATGAACCCAGTGCCTCACCCAGGGCCAGCAGGGAGCTGCCAGGCCTGGGATGAAGAACCTGGACTTGACAAGCTTGTGACCTCTCCTCTGTCCACCCGGAGATGGGGACAACTCCCCCTGACTCCAGTCCTCTTAGGCCTGGGTGTGGTGGTGGGCAGTGATCAAGACCATCCCGGGAGCCCTCCTCCGGCCTGGGAGCAGCTGAATGAGGGAGCCCGAGGCATCCGAGGACGATGGCCGCTGCAGGAGCGGCCTGGGTGAGCTGGGGAGGGTCACTTTGAGCAATGGAACCCCCCGGCTTCCACCCTGCTGGCCTCACCCGTGTCTCGGTCGGTGGCTCGGACGACAATGACCGAGGTGCCGACGCCCGCGGTCTCCCGAAGGCCCAGGCGGCTGTACTGCTGCTGCGTGAACACAGGGGCCTCGTCGTTGACGTCCTCCACGTACACGATCACCTGCGGGAGCGGGCGGGGGCGGGGTCAGGTGGGGCGCAGGCTGGGGAGCCCAGGGCCTGGCCCACTGCGGCCTATTTGAGTGGCCACGCCTCGCCTGGGCCAGCCGGGAGCTCCCTCTGGGGTGTCTGGGGCTGTCTTGTTGGCCACCGTGTCCTCCCGTCTTGCACAGCACCTGGCGCGTGGCAGGTGCTCAAACGCTATTTGTTTAGGAATGAGCCTTAGCTCACTCTAGGCTCTGCGACTTGCCCTGCGGGGACCTGTGACTAATTAGTGACTCTTTCTGGCCGTCAGGTTTCTCAGTTATGAAATGGTAATATCAATACAATAGTTCGTGTTCCATGCCAACTCCTAAGGATGTTATGAAGATAAAATGAGCCAGGGCACACGAAGGTGCTTGAAAAAATTCAAAGTGACCCCATTTAAATATCAAAACATATCTTGGGGAACAGACATAAGAATTTAATGGCGGTTGTAGCAGAGGATGTCAGTGCTCAGACCCCTTTATGATTCACGCGCACTGTCTCGTGGCCAGTGGCCAGTGGCCAGCACTGGTGGCTCTTCAAGGGGGACTAACCCCACCCCACCACCTGGGCTGCTGGAAACCAAAGACCCGGAGAGCAGAAACGCCTGGAAATTTGCACCCCCTGGTACAGCCCTTAACCAATGACTGATGCCTGTGGAGTACAACGGCTCCAGCTTCCTTGGCCCTGTTTGGGGCAGGGAGGGAACTCTCTAGAACTCCCGGTGGGTGAAGGCACCTTTCCTCCATGCCACTTTGCTGGCTGCTTTCCCTTCCTGGTCCTGCCTCCCTTCCAGCTTCTCCTAGGGACACTTCTTACCCATCACCTTCACCCCATCCTTGTCTCAGGGTTTGCTGCTGGGGAGCCCACCCAAGAGGGCGGCTATGTCTGAATTGTGCAATTATGCCTCATTCCCTTACTGCTTATCGGTGCTCTCTAAGTTCTCTTCGGTGAATGTGCGTGTCGTGCATAATGAACATAACGACACAGTTCAAAAGATGTTTGTGGAGAGCCACATTTGTGGGTGGAGGTCAGCACCCCCTGCCACTCCCCAGGAACACCGCAGGTGGAGGGTCTGCGCAGGTGTGGACAGGGCTGTGTCTGGCGGAGTTTCAGCCACAGGGTGCGGGTGCTCAAGGAGCTGTAGGGGAGCCCAGGGCCCCCTCTTTTCACAGATGGGGTAACAGAAGCCCAAAGAGAGGAAGTGACTTGCCCAAGGCCTCCCAGCAACTGAGAGGGCTGGAAAGAGGATGGGGCTCTCCTGGTTCTGAATTTCCCAGCCCTATGGCTCCCTGCTCTGTCCTGGGGTCAGCTGGCCCCAACAGGAGAGGCAGCCTCGTCCAACCGGGCAGAGCCAGGGCCAGCAGGAACTGGCCCGCAGAGAGGGGAGGGGAGCGGACGGGGAAGGGGCAGGTTTCACACGTGGCACCCATGCTGGTGGAGGGCCCGAGGCCCCGTGTCGGAAGCACATCTGTCTGGCCTCTGGAACGGGCCCTGGTTCCTTGTCAGGGCTTAGCAGGGAATTAGCTGGAGGGAAGTGAAGGGGCATCTGGCGGCCCCACTAGGGGACGACTCCTGGGTGTGCGGAGTTGGGGGCGAGAGACATGGGCGCGGTGGTTTGTCCACATCACTGCTCTTGGGGTTCCCGCAGCCCTGCTGTGTCATCAGACTTTTCAAGTCCAGACACCCAAAACCCACTATGCAAACTAAAGTGTCCACGCCAGAGCACAGCTGCTCACAGGCTGGAACCTTCTAAATTTGGCTGCACCCAGAACTTGGCTGGGAGAACCTGGTGGGGCGGGTGTTGGGGGGAATTTGCATGGATGAATTTCGGGAACTCTCTTTCTGTAAACAGAAACTAACTATCCATCTTTCAAAACTACAAGCCTCCCTCTTCCTGACTGCCTGTCCCAGCGACCTTGACTCCGAGGGTCGTGGGGAAGAAGCAGGGCCGGTCTGATAGTACCATAAAAAGAAGAGGGTGGTGGCAGGCAGCCTGGGTGGGGCCTGCTCTCCATGAGTCTGGCTGCATGCTACCATCCTCTTGTTGGTTTCAGCCTTGTTTTTAGCAGCACAGACGGGAGACAAGAGGGTGTGTGGTTTGCAGACCTGAGAGACGCAGCTGTACAGGAAGCACAGAGGTCTGCCAAGCTCTTGCCGAGCAGGAAGAGAGCTACTGCCCCCTCCGCCCTGCCCCCCCCCCGCCCCTGCCCCGAAAACCAGACCTGCTGTCCGTCCAGTGCTGTGCCCCCCAACAGGGGTGGGAGAGGAGATGTGTGCGTATACATGTGTGCGTGTACGTATGTGCATGCACGCACGCCATGTACCCCCTGAGACAGCTAGTCTCTACGAGGACATCTCACTCCACAATCCCTGACCCCTCTGCTGGGCTGTCCCTGGTCTCTGAAGCAGGGACCGGAGAACACGGGTGCCCTGCAAGCCGTCTCTACCGCTGCTGGGAAAGTGAACCCAGGGCAAAGCCTGAGTCCCCGTGTTGTCTTCAGGAAGGTCTCCAGCTTTCCTGGGTCTCGAGGGTGTGGAGGCTGCACCAGCCCCCAAATTCTCACTTTAACATGACCCTTTGGGAATGAGCAGTGGTTGCAAGTGTGCTCTGAAGGCCTTGTGTGAGGCAGGGGATAGCGTAGTGGTGGGTATGAAACCTGGCTCTACTCTTACTGCTGTGTGACCCTAAACAAGCTGGCTAATTCCTCTTTGCCTCAATCTCCTCATCTGTAAAATGGGTATGATAACAGTACCTACCTCACAGGGCTATTATGAGTGTTACAGGAGTTAAAGGACTTAGAAAGATGCCAGGCACAGTATTGTGTGGGGTTTTATTATTTCTCCTGGTTCACAGGGAGGTGGGTAGCTGAGCGGGTGTGGCTCTGGGTGCCCCACCCCGGCCCCAGTCGGCACTGCCTGGCTTTGATCTGTTTCGCACGGGACCCTGGAACGCTGCACAGCATTTCGTTTAAGAAGGCTTGTGGCTAAGAGAGGTTTGCAGCCACCATGCCGAGGCACTGACAGGAGCAGGCCCTGGAGACAGGTGCCCACCACTCCTGGGGGTGGGGACTGAGGGGGCCGCAAGGAGGGCTGTGGTTAGGAAGCCTGAAGTCTAGGGACTAAGCCCAAGCTTCGCTGGCATCAGTCACCCTACGGCCTGAAGCGGGCCCTGCAGAGGGCAGGCTCTGCCGTGGGCATGCTGATCACACGTGAGCACGCGGGTCACAGTCATGCAGGTGAGCGTGGCTGTGTGGGAGGGCCCAGGTACGATTCAGGTAACTGTGCCTGACCCTCCGTCACCAGGGCCCCATAAGAACCCCGGGGGATCTGGCCCCGTGGCCATTTCCACCGGGCAGCCCTCCCTCAGAGGGCAGCGGGACGGACCCAGTGTCTCTTTCCTCCCGGGCAGAGCTGCCGGGGCATGGCAGGGCCCAGGCTGAGTCACCCGCCCCGGCAGGCCCCAGGTAGCTCTGCTCATTGTTTCCAGCGGGGGAACCAGCGGGTGGAGATGGGCCGATAACACAACCTGCTGCTCTCCACTCACGTCTCCCATCTCCCTCCTACTCCTCACGTCTGCGTCTGACTCACTTCCCACCGGTTTAGGGGAAGGGGCTGGCAGCTGCCGAGTGGGCAGTGGGGTGGGGGTGACCTTGAGAGCTCATCTCATTCATCCCCCTGCTGCTGGGCAGGAGTGTGTGTGACCCCACCCAGCCGGTGGGGACACTTGTGCGTGTGCGAGGTTCAGGCTCAGTTGATTTCAACTGCACAGGTAAGTGGGGGTGGAGGGCAAAAAAAGAACGCATTTGATGGGGCAGCTGGGAGACGTGACTGGAGTATTTTAGGGACAGTTTCCATGGAAAGAGCACTGAACTTGAACTCAAAGATGCGGGCTCAAGTCCTAATTCTATCACTAGCAACTTCTCTTGTGCCTCAGTGTCCTCATTGGTAAAATGAGCTTGGTGTCTACACCTGCAAGATCATCTGTGTGGGGTTTCCTTAGCTCACCCTAGAGAGCTATGGTGGACGCAGGGTTAGTATGGTAAGGACCCCTCTTTCACCTCAGGACAGACAGCAGTATCAGTGACTCCCTTCCGTGGCTGGAAAACTGAAGCTCAGAGCAAACTGACAAGTCCAAGATCCTGGGCCGGGCCTCCCTCACCAACCCCCCAGCCCCCATGCCCCGTCCCCACTGGGTCCCAGCTGGTGGCCACCTCCGGTCTCGCTGTGGCCTTGGTCCCAGCCCTCACCCTGACGGAGCTCCGCATGGGGCCCAGGTCGTGGTTGTAGGCCTCCACCAGCAGCACGTGGGACGAGTTCTGCTCCCGGTCCAGGGGCCGGGGCCCTCGCATCAGCAGCCCGCTGCCAACGTGGATCCGGAAGTTGTTGCCATGGTTACCTGTGTGGAGGGACAGACGAGGTTCATAGGCTTGGCCCTAGGGCAGGGGCTCTGGTCCCCCTGGAACACTGACCCTGCCCAGAGGTCTTGGGAACCTGGCTGAAGCCCACATGGCAAGGAGACCTCTGCCTCGTGCTGCCTGGGCCTGGCATGGCTGGGGCAGGGTGTGTGTGTGTGTGTGTGTGTGCATAAGTCCACCTGTCCCCTCCTCGTGGGAAGCCTAGGGGGTCTCCCTTGAGCCCCAACTCCCAGGTGTGGGTGGAGTGATGCACTTCAGTATTTCAGAACGATCTAGGGTATGACAGAAAGGCGTCCAAACCAAATTCCCTGTGGGTGGCTGAAGCCAGGATTTTAGTGACATCTCCAGGCTGGTCCAGCACCTGTCGCCCCATCTGGCAGTACCAGTACCCTGATTCCAGAAGTTGGCGGGTCAGCACATTTCATTTTCCGGCCATAGTGACTGGCCCAGGGATGGGCACCTGATTCTGGCTGTACGAACAGCCCCAAGCCCTGGAGAGCTCCCTGGGGGCTGCCCTGGTTCAAGACCCCTCTGTCAGGGTGATGGCCTTGGGGAGCACTGTGGGCCTGGGGACTTTGGGAGCACAGCAATGGGATGTAGCACCCTCACTTAGCGTACCTCCAACTAGAGAATTTCTCTGTTCCTCCCTTTCGCCCCACCCCGTGTACAGCTCTTGGGGCTCCCTTGGCCTCACCCCCCAGACCTGGGGCAGCCCAGAGAGGCTGTGCCCCAACAGAGGCAGGAGGGCTGGCCCCCGCCCCAGTGCAGCCCCACTCACCGCGGAGGATGCGGTACCACACGCGCCCAAACTCGCCCTCGTCTGCGTCCGTGGCCTTCAGCTGAGGGAGAACGAGACCCTGGAGTCACTTCTTGGATTCCACGCAGCAGAGAGAAAAGAGGTTTGTGGGCCCCTTTCCCTCCCTCCCCCACCCTCCCCCGTCCTGCCAACCCCATGGTTTCCCACAGAGACTGGGAGGGTGGAGACGAGGGGACGCGAGTGTCTTTCTTATCCCCATGAGGATATCCAACCACAATGGCCCCACGCTGCCCGTCCAGGGCCAGCTCTGCTCCCCGACCCTCCTCCAGGTTCTTGGGGAGGACGGGAGGTGGATGCTGGCGCCCTAGCCCGCCGGATCCAGGCGTGAACAGGTTGTCCCACACCTTCACGATCCCTACCTGCCAGCGTGTGAGAGCCCAGAAGCCTCACCGAGGGCGGCTGGATTGCGTGGCTGCTTCTTGCCCACACTTCTTGGCCTAAAGCCATTCTGGCCATACCGGGTCCCCACGGGCCACTGTGTACTGTGATGGTCACTTTGTGGAAGCCTAGACCCCCGCCCCCTCCCGCCCCAACGACGGCTCCACGTTCATTCACGCACACGATCATGCCAGTCTAGTTTCGGATCTCCCTGGCTCGCTGGGCTGTACCTCAGGCTTACGTGTTGTGGTACACGTAAGTGGGACTTGTGGCTGTGTTCTTCTCACTCCAGGATGCTGCCCTGCGCTCAGCCCTTTTTACAAGGAGTCTGGCCTTGAGGCTGCTGGCAGAACCAAAGCTGGCCCCAAGGTGAGTCCTGTCAAGCCAGAACTGAATACCTACTCTACCCACCTGAGACAGGTGGAGAACATCCCTGTAAGGCGGTGCAGAAAGAGGCCTGAGACTGTGTGGCCATGACATACTGTCCTGGACAATCGTGGTGAATTGCTTTGTACGGCCCTGCACCTTCCTACTTCTTCTAGATCCACCCCTCCTTTTCTCCCCACCGCTCACCGCAACCCTATGGTGTGTGTCCTGGAGCCACCATGTTCTTACTGACCACACCACTAGGGCCAGAGGGGATTAGTCCAGAAGCAGTCACCTGATCAAAGCTGAGCCAATCACAGCCTTCTCTGGGACCGCTAACCTGGGGCCCCCAGTGAGTGAGTCGGTCTCTCTAGTAGTAAAATGTGAGGATATCAACACTCCCTGCTCCCGTCTCTCTAAGCTCATCTTCACCACTCTTTCCACACTAACTCTGCCCTAGCCACGTGGGGCTTCCTGCTGTTTCTTGGACACCAAGTGCATGTCAGCCTCGGGATTTTTGTCCTGGCTGCTTCCTTTGCCTGGCATGCTCTCCCTCCAGGAGTTTGCATGCTCACTCCCTCCTCTCCTCCAGGTCTTCACCCACATAAGCATCTTCTCATAAAGCCCTCCCTGACCACTGTGTATGAAGTTGTAGCCCCACTCCAATACCCTGGCCTTCTCTGCCCCCCACTACCCTCTGACACACCATATCTTTGTTTGTCACTTCTCCCCTCTGAAAGAGAAGGCTTTGTGCCCTGCTACATCCGTGGTCTCTAGAACAATGACCCTTGCGCACAGTAGGGACAACATATGTTGGCTGAATATGTGAACGACTTAGTAGCAGATCTCTGACATTCAGTGAGTACAGATGAAAGGCACACACAGCACGGAGCACGGCAGTATTGGGGTCCCTGGGCCTAGTTACTCTGGGAGCCCCGGTGTGCCTCCCTTTCCGTTTGATTTTTCCTCTGATCCTGCGGGATATCCCAGTACTGCTCTATACCAGGGGTCCTCAAACGTTTTAAACAGGGGGCCAGTTCACTGTCCCTCAGACCGTTGGAGGGCTGTTGAGAGTGCGGCGCACATTCCACACATGCGCACTGTGGGCCCAGGACGAGTCAGCTGCTAAGCAGGACAGGCAGCGGCGGCAAAAACACCCGGCGGGCCGGATAAATGTCCTCGGCGGGCCACATGTGGCCTGTAGTTTGAGGACGCCTGCTCTATACACTTCTCCTTTTGTCCAAGATAATGTGAATTGGATTTTTGTTTCTTGCCACCCAAAACCCTAATACATACTTTCCTGTCTTTGCCCACTGGACAAACTTCCAGAGGAGAGGGCAATCTTGCTAGGAAGATCAAGAGAGCAGGGGCCATTGAGGGTGGGACTGACCAAAGGTTGCCAAAGGGGGGAGCTGGCTTCCTAGAGAAGGTTCGGGAACATATTCAGGCTGGGAAACGTGGGCAAAAGTCGAAGTTGCTGAGGGGCTGAGCAAGGGACCGGGCCCCCAGTCTGTCTGGAGTGAGGGGCCCATGCTGGGACACAGCAGAGGGCTCTGGTGAGAACAAGGGCCTCAATAGATAGCACAAGGGCAGTGGGAGCCTCAGCAGAATGTGCAGCACAGATGTGACAGGTGGTGGCCATCGTGAGAACAATGAGCCTGGCAGCAGGGGAGGGCCTGGTCACACTCGGTGGACAGCCAGCAACTGAGGGGTGCGTGCCCAAGGATTCTGAGAAGTCTGCTGATGGTGGGGAGGAGGGGAAGTATGCTGGAGCAAAAGGAACAAGGGCTCTGGGTCTGGCACACCCATGTGTGAATCTAGGCTTTGTCACCTACTGGCTATGGGACCATGGATAAGTACTTGACTCACTGAGCCTCAGTTTCCTCATCTGTAGACTGGGTACAATAAGAACCCACCTTGCAGGGTTGATGGAAGGTTAGAAGTCATCGTGCAAACAATTTAGTCTGGTGCCTGGCATGGGGATAGGTGTGAAGGTTGGCACTTTGAGTTATGCTGCCTTCTCCAGGGAGGCCCCCTTGATTGATACTGGAGGTGGGGCTGGCCAGGTTGCCCTCGCTGTGCAGTTCTGACTCTCCCCCTTCCCTGAGAATCCTGAGAGCTGGAAGGTGGAAGGATGTCATGGGGCGCTTCGACAGTCCAGAGCTGGGCGGGATCAGGAACTGAGCTGCCCAGGGGATGCCCCGGAAGTTTTGCTGTCTGCTATCTCAGGAGAACTGGGGCCATAGATGAGACGTTCCATCAGTTTGGGAAAATGAGGGCAGGGAAGGAGGGAATCCCAGTGGGGGCTCTGGGCAGGTGGGAACAGCTCTGGGTGGGATGCCGCTCATTCACGGCACCACCCGCCTGCCGCCCATGCCCACCGCCCAGGCTGGGGACCGCACCGGATCCCCTGCCACTAACTCGCTGGATGACGCTGGGCAGGCCACTCCTCTCTGGACCCCATTTCCCCATCCGAGAGAGGAGGGGCGCTGAATTGGATGACCCCTAAGGCCCCCTCCAGCTCTGACCATGCACAGGGAAGCACCCCCCCCCATTTGGGGGCAGGCAGACAGCACCTCGTTCTGTGGTCAAGGGAAGGAGGGGAGAGCTGAAAACTGAAAACTGGGGCTCCGAGAAGCGGGGTGTGTCCCATGTCCAGGTCTTGGGCCAGAGCCACAACTTGCTGCTTGTGTTGCGCTTCTGGGAGCCTGGCGGTCCCTGACAGGGAAGCCTCACAACTCGGGCTCCTAAGCGGGTGGCTGGCTCCAGGGACACGCTGGCTTCCGGGGAGAAAGGAGGCTGGGGGAGGGGAGTGTGTGAGCGTGTGTGTGTGAGCATGTGTGTGCATGTATGTGAGTGTCAGTGTCTCTCTGTGTGTCTGTGCATGTTAGTGTGTCTGAGTGTATGTGTGTGTCTGTGTGTGTCTGAGTGTCAATGTGTGTGTCTGTGTATTCCCAGCGTGTGTGTCTGTGTCAGTGTGTGTTTGTGTGTATCAGTGCCAGCGTGTGAGTGTGTGAATGTGAGTGTGTGTGTTGGTGTGTCTGTGTGTGGCAGTGTGTGTCTGTCAGTGTGTGTGTGAGTGTGTGTGTGTGCACACATGTGGTGTGGTGTGAGGAACCCCGCTGAGGGTCTCCTAGGGCCACCAAACTGTACGGAGCTCAGCCTTGCTGTCCCTCAGTCCCATGCTTCCTGCCCTGTGATCCCCTGGAAAACAGGCCTTTGAATGAGAGGCTCTCACCCCTCTGCAGCCAGACGCCTCAAGGGGAAGGTGCTTTTCTGAGGAGCAGCGGGGGGAGGCCTGGAAGAAGTGGGGCCTCAGGGGCCCTGGGCCCATCACTCTGCCTGTCCCACCCAGCGGTGCCGCTCTGGCCCCTCTCCCCGGTAACCTGGAGGCTGGCCGGCACTGAATAGCGGCTGCAGGCTGCCGACCATACCATTTAAACTTCCAGTGGGGGAAGGTGAGAGCCATGGGGCCTCGAGAGGCAGCAAAACCCTCCCCCTGCGTCCCCCGTGCCTCCTGCCCGAGAGGGCTCCAAGGAGACAGGCTGGAGTGAGGCCAAGGCCGTGGGAAGGCTCGGGAGCCCCAGCTCCTCTGGACAGCCCCCTCCCTCCCTGCCCGGCTGCCATACCGACCCTCCTGCATGTCCTCTCCCCCAGGGCAGGGCCGGGAGTCTTGCAGACAAAGCCAGGCCCTGCCGGAGAGTGAGGGGAGAAGGCCCACTCTGCCGGGGCGGGCTGAGGGGTGCCGGGCACAGCAGAGCCCAGGGCAGGGTTGGGGGCACGGGCACCGCCCGCTGCTCCTCGGGCCTCCTGTGCACAGCTGAGAAGACCTCTCCGCCGAGCAGGACTGCCAAGGGCTGGCTCTGAGGTCAGTGCGTGGGGACCCCAGGAGCAGTTTCCGTGCAGGGAGTGGGGGTGAGACCCCCGCTGGGGGACTCCGGGGAGGACGTGAGGCTGTGCTCAGACCTGGGCAGCCCCTCTGGCTCTGCAGAGGGCGGAAACAAGGCCCAGCAAGGGGCAGTGGCTAGCCTGAGGCCCACAGCAGGCCCTGCTCCGTGGAACTCTAAGGGAAGAAGGAAGGTTCCAGACTGAGCTTACAGAGATACACCCAGAGCAGGGCCTGCTGGGGTGCCCTGGCTCCAGCGGGAAGGGGGAGGCTTCGACTGCCCCCGAGATGACTCCCAGCCTTGGTCTGGTGGAGCCTTTTCTGCCCAGAACCAGCTGGCCCTTGCTGGCGGGCCAGCAAAGGGTGTTAGGGCACCTGGCAGCTGAACCCGCCGCGAGCTCCAGGGAGGGCGTCTTGTCGTTTTCAAGCACTTTGGGATCTCTTGCTGCCATAGGGAGTACTCAGGTGCTAGTGACGACTCCACTTGTCTTGCTATTAACGCAGATCCCAAGGCCTGAAGCCCGGACCCTCTTTGCTGGCCTGACAGGGTCTCCAGATCCATTTGAAGCTCTTGAAATAAAGTTAGAACTAGTAGGATGGAGTCATCTCCCATTGCACACTGCCCCATCCTCCCTCCCAGCCAAGCCTTGCCCGGGGTAGGATGGACAGCTGGTTTCTCCCCAGGGGACATGGCAGTGGGCACACCCCAACCCTCCTCCCTGCTCGGACTCAAGGAAGAGCCAACCCACGTCCGGTTGCCTGGCCAGAGTGCTCTCTAGGCCTGACTGACGCCCGAAAGGCGGAGGCCTCGGGCAGCTAGACGGGCATCAGAGTTTCCAGCTGGGAGGGGTGCTTTTCTGTCTGGAAATGCTGGGAGGGGTGGTGGCAGGGAGTGGGTGGGAGGTGGGGCGCACTGGATGCCCTCAGTCGCTGGGCGCGGGGAGCCAGGAGCTAGGTCCTGCGGCTGCTGGTGAGTGCTTGGGGTGGGCACAGGGGCCCCCCAGGTGGGGGACTGGGTGGCCGGCTCCCCTCCCCACCACCTGGCGACAGGGATTCCCTTTAGGTACACGCAGAGCCTGGGTGTGACTTGAGGCCTTCCCTCCTGCCGAGCCTCGGAGCCGTGAGTGAGACTAAGACGCAAGCTGGGAAGGAGGAAATCTGCCAGCCCCCAGCCTCCTGCAAGACTCCCAGGTCTAAGGGAAATACTTATTATTATTATTATTTACGCGTATCCTCTTTGGGATTTCCTGTCCTGGTTAGAACTCAAAGACCACAAATGCTGCCCTGCAGCTCCACGTAGCCCGCTCACATGTCCTGTCTGGCCCGTGTAGTGTTGCACATATTTGAAAATTCATTTCCAGTTTATTTGGTCTTGGCAGTGTCTCCCCTTGTCCCCTTCTTTCTTGCCTTAAATTTGAATTAGCTGCCAACATTTAGGCATCAGGAGTGTTTGCCTAAAACTTCCAGATTTCTGCCTTCTCGCGAGAAACTGGCAGAGCCGACCACACGGGGCCTGCAGTCTGGCGCTGGCACCGTCAGACTGGGCTGGGCCCCTCTGCGTCCTCAGAAGGGCCCGGCCAGCGCTCTCCAGGCAGCCCTGCCCACCTGTCCCCTCTGGTCACGCAGTGTCTGCTGGCCAGGCTCTGTAGGCATTTTTATTTGCAATCCCAGACATACTGAACCCAAAGCTCAGCCTGATTTCCCATCTACAGGGACCACCTGCCGGGCTCCCTCTAACGGGATCCTCTTAAGGGATAACGGAAATGCCCTGTCAGGTGACTGATGTCCCCAGGGAGGTTTCCAGCCCTTGCTTGTCAACCCCCTTGGGGCTTATTTCCTACCTGTTTCCCCGAGCAGCTCACTGAGCTCCCAGAGAGGGCTGGGCCAGAGGGGTGGAAAGGCCGCGGGGCTAGGTGTCAGGAAACCTGGGCTTTGTTTGGCCACTGACTCACAATGTGGCTCAGGCTTGGCTGTCCCCTGATTGGGCCTCGGTTTCCCTACCTGTCATGGGAGCAGGTTGGACTACATTGGAAAACCCACAAGGCCAGGCTGGTGAAATAAGGTATGTGGTGGGCTTTTGGGGGAGTGTGGCGAGCTGGCACCCGGGCCCTGTCCAAACGGGACAGTTGCTGCCAGTATCGGGCAGGAACACAGGCCCAGTGCTGCCAGTGGTGAATTCTGACATTTTAAGAGAGGCCAGGCACACAGATATTTACGTGAAATCTTTTTTTTTGAAATTCACGATTATATTTATGAAAACACTGTAGGGACCCAATAAAACACACCTGTAGGCCCCTAATTTGCAGCCTTGGGACATCAGATAGTTGCCAGGGGCCCTGCCAGCTGTAGCATCTAACCATCTGAGGCTCGCTCCTGGTCACAGAGCAAGTTACTGACGGAGCTGGTCCTAGATCTCAAGTTTTCAGGCCTAAGACTTCATGGAAATTTATGGGAATGAAGAGAAAATGCCGAAAGGCAAGTCTCTTGTCTCCTCCACGGCAGATGGGGTACGGGGTGTAGCAGAGAGAGAACCGGCACTCAGCCTGGCCCCATCACCTACCAGCGGTGTGTGCACTTGGCCTTGCCATCTTTCTGGGCCTTGCTGCGCTAACCTGTCATGTGGCCCTGATGCTATGTGGTTGGATAGTCCCAGCCCCATCAATATTCCCGGGAAAGTCTCCCCTCCCTCCCCTGCCCAGGTCCAGCTGATCTGCCTCTGAGCTTCTGTCCTGTTGCTGTTGCAGAAGCCATGAGCACAGAGGGCCCCAGCCTCACCAGCGCCCCGGCCACCAAGCCCCTCACCTTCCTCTCAGCTCTGGTCACCCCGGGGCCCCCTGTGGAGGCAGCTGACCCCCTCCCCGTGCTCATTGCCCTGGCCTGCATCTTCCTCCTGCTGGCCACCTGTCTGCTGTTTATGACGCTCTGCAAGCCGGCCCCGCTGGACCCGAGCCGCCGCAGGGCTCGAGAGTGCATGCCCCACCACCCCGGGAGCCCCAGCGAGCCCCAGCTCCGGCTCTGGAAGCGCCTGGGCTCGCTGCGCCGCTCCCTGCACAGCTTCCGCCGCGGCAGGCCTGCCGCCCCTCGACGCCCCCTGCCGGAATGCAGTGACAACCGCAGCGACTGTGACTGCACGGAATCTACCAAGATGTGACAGGTGTCCACGCACAGATCCACCTGCAGATCCTCCTGCCTCGGATGGAGCCTGGCACTGCAGGCAGACAGTGGCCCAAGCAACCTGGGCCACACGCTCACCCCCAGCGGTTTCCTGTGTGTCTAGGCCGGTGCCCCTTCCCAGAGATGTCTCCCGGAAGAGTATCTCTGTGGACCCCCCAGCTGCTGCTTGCTAGAAGACCCCTGGATCAAGGGATGAGCACCCACAGCCACGTGGGCCCTTGGCCTGAGGCTCCGCAGGGTATAATCTGGGGCTCCCTGGGACACCTTTCTGGCAACTAGTATCAACCACCTTCTGGAAACAGCACCCCTGCACCCCAACAGAAGCCCCACCCTCCCTCCAGGATCCGAAAGTTGGCATGGCCACAAGTTCCCTCCAGCCGAGCGAAACACTCAGCCTGCCCTAGGAGCAGGGTACTGTCCTGCCGTCTGTGCTGACTCAGCGCCCAAGGCAAGAGGGAACCCAGGACTCCTCTCCTTGGACTTCCTGGGCCCTGCCAGTGTCTTCCTGGTAATCCGTGGGAACAGCCACCACGCTCCTGGCGGATCAGATGCCTGGGTGCCAGCGGGAAGCAGGGGCAAGCAGGAAGCCACCAGAGCACACCCTGGCAGCCGTCTTGACGGGCCCCCTTCGAGGCGCCCACGTCAGGGTCGGCAGGGAAGGGGCTGAGTGGGTTGAGAGGCTGGTTTCAGAGTTCAGGCTCCTGCTGCGACAGGGTGGCAAGAGGCAGAGCACTGCCAGCAGCTGGAGGGGATGCCAGCCGGGCTCTGCAGGCGCCTCACAGTGGCTCCATGCCTCACCCAGGGAAAGGGGCAGCCTCCCCTCGGGTGGGATGGCCGGGACCCCTCCAGGGCAGCTGTGGGACCTCAGGCCTGGACCACACTAGTCATGCTATGTGTGTTTTTGGTGATTGCCGCACTGACTGTCTAGCTGCCAAAGCAATCCCACCCAGGAGAGACTTCACAGAGTCCCAAACCCTTGATCTCTCCTCCGAAGGCCTGGGTTAAATGCTTTGGTTTGGTCCTGAGTTTGGAGAGTGGGCAGAGTGGGGCCTGAGCTGCCTAGCTCCTGTCCCAGAGACCCAGCTGGCCAGGGGCCCACCATGGAGCTGCCCTGGCCCATAGTGTCACCTTCCTGTGACCCACAGTGAAGGCAGCCAAGTCATCTTAATGAGTGAGCTCTGGTTTGCCACTCCCCAGTTCCCAAACCTTCACTGGCTCCCTAAGGCTAGCTGGATGCAGCTAAAGTTTCTTAGCCTAGAGTGCAGTGCTCTCTGGGATCTGGCTGCAACTTACCTTTCGAGTCTCATTTTGACCCAAGACTGCAGGCAAACTGAACTACCTGTCCTCCCCGACTGTCCCTCATGCCTCACACAGCACCCACTCCGTGAAGCTCTTTGCCCTCCAGCTGAACCACCCTTGCTCCTCCTGGCCATGTGGGGCACTCCTGTCTCTGTCTTCTCCTTCCTCCAAGCCTGGGAGCTTGCAAAAAGCCAGACCTTGCCCAGTGCCTTGCTTTGACTCCTCAGCTCTGGGCACACAAGTATGTGGCCTCTGTTTGTAGAGTGAGGGGTGGCCCAGCCTGGGTGTCCCCGCCCTGCAAAGCAGAAGGAGTCCTAGTGGAAGCCCACACAACACAGAGCCCTCTTCTGCCCTCGGATGCCCCTAGAAAGAAGATTCCTATCTGAGTAGGCCCCGCTGAGAGACCCCATACGCTGGCCCTCCAGGTCGATCAGACCTCAAAGAGCAAGTCTGGCTGTGCAAGAAACTTACTCATGGGGCCTTGGGGAAGCCACCCTGAGACCATGGATTTCTCCCTGGGAAATGGCGAGAGTCAGGATCAGGGCTGCCCTACATTACTCAGACTCTAGGATTTCAGCCCAAGCAGTGTTGAGTAAACAGAAACCAATTCTTTGGGGTTTAGAAAGTGGGGCAGGCCTCCTCCCAAAAGGTTTTGTTCCTCCTCCCTTTCCGCTTGTTAACCTCTTCCTGGTTTGCTTCCCTGAGGCCTCTCTGAAACATCCCTGGCTGAATTCAGTCTGCAGCCACCCGCTCCTGGCCAGAGCGGCCTGCCACCAGGGTCCTGGCAGTTGGGGGCAGCGGAGAGGGCTGCTCTGAGGCCTGGAGGAGGAGGAAAAGCTGGGGTGGGGAGGGGAGCTCTCAGAGGTGTGGCGGTACCCCCAGCTTGGGCAGCCCACTGGTCCGGGGACACTGTCAGTAAGCTGGGCTGGGGCCCAGCTATGTGGGGAGGGTCCAAGTCCTCATGAGCCGAGGCCCAGAGGAGAAAACACTCCTCCTTTCTCCTTCTAGAAGCAGCCACCATACTCTTGCAAATCCCCAGGCTTCCTGGGCTCTCCACGCTCCTAGGAGTCAGCCCCTGCTCCCAGGCCCTTTCCTGCCTCCTCCTGGTCCTGATGCAGGAGGTGGGCATACTCCCGGCCTCCCATGTCCCTGCCCCTCCCAAGCCCGGGAGCCCGGCCCAGCGGGCAGGTCCAGATCTGCTGTGTTTGGCTCAGCCTCTGAATCGGGTCGGAAACCCCGAGGCTGGCAGCGAGGAATTCATTCCCGGCCTCTCTCCCCACCCAGCAACGAAGGCCTCCTGGGCAGGCGGGGGCGGGGCGGGGGGGGACCGGGCTTCGCTGTCAGGGTCCTCTCCTCTCTCCCTCTGAGCCTTGGGGCTGCTGCCCCTGCTCCCTGGGCACAGGAGCCCTTTCTTCTAGTGCCTGTTTACTTCCCGAGAGGGAGCCTCGGCCAAGTGCCCTGTGAAAGCGGCTCTGTTCTGGGCCTCGCTGGGCCCTGGCTCTCTTTCCCCAGCTCCTTTCCGGGAAAATGTGACATCTCCCTGTCCTCCCCACTCTGAAGGGCCCTCTGGGTGGTGTAGGCGGTGCGGAGCGGGCTATGGGGAGGGAGGCCCAGGCCTTCCGGCTGCTTGTGGAGCAGCCAGGGTCCTGGCCTCAGCTACACAACTTGGGGGCCCACTCTCCCCGGAGTGGGAAGTGGGCCTGGGTCCCCCTTTTCCCACAGCACTAGCCACTTTCAGAGCCGCAGGCCCACCCTGGACCCTCACCTGTTTCTGTCCCTCCCCCCACGATGCCCCTGAGCAGGTGCCCTCAGAGCTGAGCATGGCCCTGCCTGCCCCCAGCCTGCCATGCGCCCCAGGGGGCCACGGGCCACCTGCCTGCACGATGCTGTGGCCCTCAGGGATGTCCTCGGGGACGCTGGCCTCATAGCTGCTCTGCAGAAAGATGGGCCGGTTGTCATTGACGTCCAGGACGGTGACGAACACGGTGGCTGTGCCCGTGCGCCGCTTCCCCACCGGGCCGTTGTCTGTGGGAGGTGGAGGACAGGTGTCGGCGGCTGCCCTGGGGCAAGTTCCCGGCCTGTGCACACTCCCAGCACCAGCCAGGGATGCACCCCGCTCCACCCTACCCACCCTTTCCTCTCCAGCCAGGAATGACACTAACAGTGCCTGGTCCTTAGCTAAGGCCACGCACCAGGCGGCACTCTAACCCCTTCAGGCCTCTCAATGACCCTGGGATGTAGGCCCTGTCACTATTATCCCCACTTCACAGAGGAGGCAACCGAGGCACTCAAGTGGATTGAATGGTGGTGCCCAGAAAAGACACACCCGCGTCAAATCCCTGGGAACCTGTGAATATTAATTTATTTGGTACAGGGGCCTTTGAAGATGTAAGTATATTAAGGATCTTGAGAAGAGACCATTTTGGATTATCTGGGTGGGCCACAAATCCAATGACGAGTGTCCTTGTCAGGGAAAGACAGAGTGAGATCTGAGACAGGAGACGGAGGCAGAGACCGGGCTCACAGATGCAGCCATGGCCAGGGACACCTCGAGACGCCAGGGAATGGAGGAGTCAAGAAGGATTCTCCCCCCGAGCCTTTGGAGGAAGGGCAGCCCGGCTGACACCTTAACTTTGAATTTCTGGCCTCCAGAATCCTGAGAGAGTAAATTTCTGTTGTTTTAAGCCACCGAGTTTGTGGTGATTTGTTACGACAAACCTAGAAACGGATACAGGTAGTAAGTGCAAAACGTCAACTGCTGTCAGGGCCAGGCGGGTAAGGTGCCCACCAGGGTATGCCCACCAGGGGCAGCTGTGCTCTGCTCCAGGTCACAGTTGACAGGCAGACTGTGGGCCCAGGGACACCAGATCTTCTGATTTCTCGAGAAAAACCAAACATCTGAACTTTTTAAAATAAAGTCTCCTGATTTTTAAATGTTCACAGCTAATTGTCATTCCTCATAAAACACTGGTGGGTCAAACAAACATCCCTGCAGGAGAGACTGGCCTGGGGCCTCTGCATTCAGGGACACTGCCCTGCTTGGCTTCGGAGCCGGAGGTATCCAGGGACTCTGCCCCTCCAGTTCTGTGCAGGGCCGGGGAGGTGGTGGGGACAGGCTCAGCCCCAGGGGCAGCTCGTGGGCTGTCCTCCCTGGAGGAATGAGCTGGCGCTTAGTGCTGCATGTCCAGGCAAGAACAGTCACCCAGGGAGGAGCACAGGCAGCTGGGGTTGGCTGGGGACCAAGGGTGACTCCATCTGCCTTCCCTGGGCCAGCTGACCACATGCTGGAGTGCCGTCACCCACCCGGGGGACATCCTGTCACCCTCCTAAACACCTCTCCAGACCAGCCTCCCACCACCCTGAGGGTCCTGCTCGCTTGCTCTGGCTGGGTCAGCGTGAACTGGGAGGCCGTCCTCCTGCCAGCCAATGCCTGAAGCACAGGGTGGACTCAGGGGGGTGACAGGTCTCCAGAGGGTGGGGTGGCCGCCCCAGGATGGGAGGACAGCAGGGCATAGGGCGGAGGCATCTGGGGCGTGCGTGGGCTGGGAGGGACTGCTGTCTGGGAGAGTGAGGCACAGAGAGCTCTTCCCCTTCTCAGCCAGAGCTCACTGCAAACATGAAATCTGCTCCGGGGAGGGCCCGGGCACCTGGGGGACCCAGGCTTCATCACACCCTTCCAGAGCCCTCAAGAGCTCCCTGCTGCCTAAAGACCAAAGCCCAAACTTCTAGAGTCTAGCCCAACATTTAGGTCTCTAAGACCCAGTGCTACCTATGATAGCCTCCCCCCTCCTCGTTGTAGACCACACCATGGGCCAGCTGTTAGACATACGTACACACACGCACATAAACACACACACAGTTCTATCCCACCTCCAGGCCCTTGGATGAGCTGGTGCCTCTGCCTGAAACGCCCTCCCTGCTTCTCTATGCACGGAAATCTCACGTGGTCTTCAAGGCTGTGCCTGGCACCCCTTGTTTCTGCCCATCGGCATTGCCTGCTGTCTCCTGGGACATCATGCCCTGAACATGCCCCTGAGGACCCTTCCTTCCCGGCTCTGAGGCCTGGGATTCTGGGTAGGTTGGACTGCCTGCAGCTCCAGGGATGGGCATGTGACTTAGGCACATCTCGCTTCCCTGGCCACAGTGAGGGTTTCAGGGACAGGCACTGGGCCAGGACGGAACCAATCAGAGTTGATCTGGAGGCTTCTGTGGGGGAGACTGGGAAAGAGACCTGAGAGGGTGCAAAGGCCGGGCTGTGGCAGTGACTTGCCACCACGGGAGGCAGAGCCAGCCAATGGAGAGAATGAGGCCTGATCACTTCACCTGGGCCCTGAAGTCCTGCCAAACCTGAAGCTGCATCGCCCGGAGCACTAGTTTTGTGAGCCCATATTGCTGAAGTCAGTTTATTTTATTTTTAAATTTGTAACCAAGAGTCCTGATGACTCAACGGCACTCCCAGATGCCACTTCCTCCGGGAAGCCTTTCTTGACCTCTCTCCCTCCACACTTCCAGCACCCTTTCTGCCCAGTAGTCTTACGCCATCCTCCTCCCTCTCTACTCTGTGTTGTCTGGCTGTGCAGTGAGTTGCCTGCACGTGGGTCTCCCGTGCGGCCCCCGCCTCACCATCCCAGCATCTCGCATGTAGCACGGAGCAGCGAGGCTCACGCCCAGCAAGTGCTCAGTGATTCTCGGTGAGTGTCTGGTGGCCCTCTCTCCACTGGTGTGCGGGGCAGGCTGGCACGTACCGATGGCCTCCAGAATGAGCGTGTACGCGGCTGTGGTCTCCCGGTCCAGGCTCACCACCGTTCTCACGACGGCGTCTCGGTAGCCCACGCTGAACTTCCCATCCACGTTTCCCCCTGTGGGCAAGAGAGAACGAAGCTTTGGGTTGGGAGACAGACAGCTCCCGGCCAGGGGAAGGGGGGAGGCACCCCGACTCTGCTCCTGAGCTGGGGTACGCCGGAGGCGTCCAGGAGTGGCCCACTGTGCTGTCAACTCAGCCCTGCCCGAGGGGCTCTGATGAGGGTGTGAACTGCGTGGGCTCAGGCGGGGGCGCTGGATGCCTGGAATAAGTGTGTAACATTTACTCAGCACCTACTGTGTACCAGGCACTTGATGTGGACCGTTTGATTTAATCTCCACTTCACAGAGAGCAGAAACGATCCTTTAGTGAGGTTTCCGTGCTGCTCTGAGCCTCTCTCGTGTGCTGACACAGAGCCTGTGTCCTTTGTCACTTTGTCACTGCTCCCTGCCTGTCCTGCAGGAGGGTCTGAGCAGTTCACCTGCCCTGGGGCTTTTATATGTGGCTGAGGACTTTGGGGTCTACTGGGCATCCTCCAGGCCCCTCACCTGGGGCCTGGGGAGGGCTGGGCTGAGTGGGGACTCATGGGGGCTCCGCAGAGGGAAGAGTAAAGGCAGGTAGACAGGAGGCAGGTGCCCCTGAATCCTCTTGAGCTCTGGGACAGGTACAAGCGCAAGGGTCTCCTCTCTGGGGTGGGTGGGAGGCAGGAAATTTGGACTCCCGGAACGGTGCGGGAGACCCCTCTCCGGCCAGCTGGCGGGCAGTGCGGTGCTCTGGGCAGCAGAGGGCACCGCTGCACTAGGTTTGGGGTGAGCCTGGGCCGGGACCCCGAGGCTCTCTGCAGCAAGCATGCACTGCATAGCCGAGGGCTCTCAGCAGGTCAGCAGGAACCCGCCACTTTGGGGTGCTGGGAAGTCATCTGGGGGTGTCCTCCCTTATCCTTACTAATTTGCCCCTGGGGAAAGACTCATGACCCCCAAACCTCCAGTGCTCCCCAGTGTCTGAAGTACCATCTGCAAGAGACACGATCTTGCTCCTGGGGGACAAGGAAAGAACTAAGATACGAGTAGTACTGACAGCTGAGGCACAGGGCTGGTGCCACGTGAGGGGGTCTTGGTAAATAAGCATTTTCTAGGTCTGATTTGTGGGCCAGACTGTGAAGAGGTGGCCTGGGGGTGCCGGTCCCTTTAGAAAGGGGAGGGAGGGGAAGATCTGGAGAGGAGAGATTGAGGGCTGAAAGTCACGTTGGCTGCAGCAAGCTATGCATGGGCTGTGAGCTACGATTCTGGCTCAGTGGAAAGCTATCAGGGAGGCTGGTGCGTGCACTGCACAAGTGTACAGGCACAGATGCACACGCAGCACTTGTGTAATGCGGCTGCAGGCAGGTGTGGACAGAGCCAAGACTGAGCCCATATAACAGCAAAGGGAGGGTTGAAGAATGTAGAAGACTGCTCCTCACCCCCACCCAGCACTGTTCAGGTGTATCAGGGACCGAAAAAGGCCTAGGAGCTGTTCTAACCCAGGAATGATAAATGCTTGGCCGGTTTGCCACCACCTACCCATCCTGCGACCGTGGCAGACATCACTAATGGATCATGGCTCCCTTTCCCCTCTTGAGCCAGGCCATGGCCTCATAGTCTGTCTCCACAATGCTCCAGGTGATAGCTGCTCAACATTTCTGAGCTAAAATCATTTCATGTAGGGAGATCTAAAGCATCTGCCTCTAGACAGAGGGGACTTTGCATGAGGAAAGGGTCCCCGGGGAGGGACAGGCCACATTCTTCTAGTCACCCTGATCTGGGGGGCATGGGGGTCAGGGCTCCTCCACAGGAGGCACCGGCTCCACCTCCCTCCCCCACCCTTGGCCAAGAGGCTCAGGGGTCCCCAGGGAGCCCGGCCAGCGCGACCCAGCTGCAAAGCCCTTGGGGACAGCCCAGCACGTGTCCTCACAGGGGCACCGGCAGGGGCTAGAGCCCGAGGTGGAGACTTGGCCTCCTCCCCACGCTCCCCTGCGGGCACCCGGTGGGCGCCACATGTGGGAGGGGTGGAGGGAGGAGCCAGGGCCGGGGGTGGGTGGGGCCCGAGTGGGGGAAGGCGCACCTGTGATGAAGTAGCTGAGCTCGGCGTTGAGGCCCACGTCGTTGTCTGTGCAGTTCAGCCACACCACCCGGAAGTCGCGCGGCACGTCCTCAGACACGGACACGTTGTACACGGCCGGGAAGAAGGTGGGCGTCTCGTCGTTCACGTCCAGCACTGCAGGGCGGAACGGGCACCGGGCTAGGCCTGCATTCTGCCGCCGCCGGCCCAGCTCCAGGCAGTGGCCCAGGCCCCAGACCGAGCGGGGTGAGAATTTGCAAGGGAGCCACAGTCTGCCCGTGGCACCTGTGCCAGCACCTCCTGGTCATGAGCCCAGGCCCCTACACCCACCGGGGCCAGGACCAAGCTGACAGAGCTCCAGCCCCCCCCCACTGTCCCTGTTCCCTGGGGGCTGGGGGCTGCTCGAGCTGCCAGAGGGAGGGGAGGAGACCCCAGAGCCCCTCTCCAGTATGCGCCTGACAACGATGGTTATGATAACCACGATGACAGTGACCCTCTGTGAGCTCTTCCCACGTGCCAAGCCCTCGCCCAAGCTTCCCACCCAGGACCAGGCGTACCCCCACAGCGTCCTTATGGGGCTGGCATTCTTAGACACGCTGCAAGCAAAGTCACACAGCGACAGAGCGGAGGGCTGCAGGCTTGAGGAGGCCCCAGTGTGTGATAAGGTCTCGGGGAAGGGAGCTGGCTTGGAAGATTTCCCCCCCAAAAGGTCTAATTTCCTGTAAAGACGTGTGTCAGCTCTGCATGCCAGGCCCCCTCTCCTCAGGGTCCTCTCTTCTTAAAGACTGGACACACTGCCTGTCAATCATCGGGGGTCCTCAAGCCCGCCCAAGGAGCCCACTGGCAAGCCTTGGAATGACAGGAGAGAGAACGCTGTGCTCTCTCTAATCCTTGCCATCCCAGGTCTCCCTGAGGGGTGAGGAAGCCCCGTTCCAGGCTCGCCACCCCCACTGCCCTCCCACGCAGGCTGGCAGGAACCAGGACGGGACGGAACAGGCCTAGCGCACAGGCCACGTCTTGCCCCTTAAGCCGTGCACGTACTTCCCCAGGGTTACCCCTGGCCCTTTGGCAGCAGCTCATGTCCCCACCTGGTCCTGAAAGTTAGAGACACTTCCAGAGCGGATGAGAGACAGTGCCCCACCCCTGCACCAGGAGAAGGAAGGGCCCCGGGGCATGAGGAATGGTAGGGAGTCTGGGAATCTCAGCTGCCCTCTCCCCAGGGCGATGCCCTTCCTCTGCTGGCCCAGGCAGCCCACACCCGTGGGATGGGAAGTCTTTCCATCTGCAAACAACAGGACAGAGGGCCCTGCAGCCTCCCTGCTCACTGCCTGCTCATGACCCCGAGAGCCCCAACCCCTGCTCAAACCCTCCCTGCTGCTGCTGGGATCAGGGGCTAGGAGGGCCTTGGCATGGGTCCAGGCCCCTGGCCTTGGGCTCTGGGGCACTGAAGGCAGGGGCCAGGTGGGGAGAAGGCTCTGCTGCCATTTCTAACTTGGGGGGCAGGGAAGGGTCTGCTGTGTTGAACGGTCCCAGTGCAGGTGGAGGGCAGCCCCTCAGCAAGGGAGCCTGTGCCCACAAATCCGGCAGACAGTGTGGGCCCCCGCCCCGCCCGGCACTGCCCCAGGCCCGGCCTCTGCGCTCAGCGTGTGGCACCCGTCCTCTCACCGCGGATGGTGAGCGTGCTGGTGGCGCTCTTGGTGGGCGTGCCCGCATCGCTGGCCACTACCCGCAGCTGGTACTCGGCGATGCGCTCGCGGTCCAGCTCGGTGGTGGTGAGCACCACGCCGCTGCTGCTGTTGATGAGGAAGTCCATGCGGGGCATGCCCACCTGCATGCGGTAGGACACCAGCCCGTTCAGGCCCTCGTCCAGGTCGATGGCCACCACCTGGGGAGAGGAGGGGCGGCGTGAAGAGTGGGGATGCCAGGCCTGATGCTCCCCCCTAAGAGGAGCCCCTCCTCCCTGCCGGCCCAGGCTCGGCTGCAGCCAGACACGCCTGCTCCCTTCTGAGCCGCGGCCTGGCCACCGTCCCCAGCACACCCTCCCAGAGGCTCTCCCGGGGGGCAGCGCGTCAGCTGAAAGGCACCCAGACGCCCTCGGGTCCAGATGTACTGAGGCCAGGGGTGGAATGACGAAGGGACTTTGTAGACCAAGGGTCCAGGTCCCACAGCCTCCCGCCTTTACACGCCGCTCTCCCCGTTAGGAAGCCCTCCGGGATCTGCTCCTCCTGGACCCTCTGAACGCTCCAGTGTTCCGCAATCTCCCGTCACCCTCCACCCTTACAGTGCTGGCTTGGAGCAGTGGCTACAGCTGATAGACAACTGCACAGAACGCACAATTAACGGGCTTCCCTCCCCCTGCTCGGCTTTGATTTGTGGGACAACAGCAAAAATAAGATGATATTAATATCAAGGATTATTTTTTAAAAGTCACGTGAGGATTCCATTATTGCCTGACCCAGCCATGGGACGCTGTGTGCAGGCAAGACTCATCCTGAATCCCTCCTGTTCTCATCTGCACCTCCAGTCCTGATCAGAGGTCGCCCAACTCATAGCCTCAAAGTGTTACAGACTCGATTCAAGACATTTGGGGAAAACGTGTACTAACAGTTAAAAATAAGAGCTCGGATTGAGCCAAGACTCTCAGGATTGGAAGATAAGGGCAAAGTCATGTGGTCTAACTCACATCTGACAAACTAGACAAGAGGATGTCCAGGCTCAGCTTGAATGCTCTCCAGGACAGGGGGCTCACTACTACTTCTACTTTATTTGCACACAGCTTTACTCCCTGGAGAAGGTTCTGCACATCCTGCAGAAATCTTGTTGGCTGAGGTCCTGGATGGGGCCAGGGAACCACACAGCTCAAGTCAGAAGCCCTGTTCCGCAGCTGAAAACAGTGCTCAATTTGAACACTTCCTGCTCCCTCAAATGTCTTCTAGGACTCTGAGCCACTTCCTCTGTGAGCTCGGAGGTTGCTCGGGTGGGCATCTCTTTCCTCCGCTGTCCGTGAGCCCCAGAGAACTGGGTTTGAGGGTTCCTTTGCTCTCACTCCGCCCCAATCCTATTTGGGGACTCTCCCTCTGGGACTGGTTGCCACTCCCTGGATGGCAGCGCCCCCTGCTGGGAATTTGGGGAGAATGCTGTTCTGGAGAGATTGAATGCTCCGGGGGACCAGAGAACACTATTAATCTCCTTTTACAGATGAAGAAACTGAGGCACAGCAGGCCTGTGTGGCACCACTAAGGTGCCACACTCTGGTATCCTGACAAACAACCCTGTCTTCTTTGAATAGGAATGGGCAACCCCATTGTCTCTCTTGACCATAAACCCTCATGACAGACACTCAATGAACACAACAGCCACCATGTATTTCCTGCAGCCCAAGCACCAGGTTGTTTCACGTGTGTGTCTGACTGAATCCCTACACCACTGCCAGGCAGGTGCTACTATCATTTCCATTTCACAGGTGAGAAAACTGAGGCTCAGAGAGGTTAAGTAGTTTTCTCCAGGTCACACAGCACACCGGTGGTGGAGTTGGACTCCACCATATTGGTTGGACTCCAAGCCTGTGCTCTTCACCATGAGGGTCTTCTTGTGTTTCTACATGGCCCTTGGTAGGACATTACCTCCCCTAAATCAGCACCTTCAGGGTCTCCCTGACTAGAAAGATGATGGAACAGGAGGCAAAGGGGCCAGGTCCAAGGTCAGGCCCTACCTCTTCTTGGCCACCGAGACTTGGGCAAGTCTTCTACAAAGTGGGGAGGGTCCTATCCACTGCAGGGAGCTGCCCTGCGAATTATGGAAGGGCATGGGACATAGCCACGCAGGGAGGGTGCCTGGACTTCACTTGTCTGGCCTCCTTTGTATTCTAGAATCACCTGCAGGCTTGGGGCATTGCGGGTCTTAGGCTAGACCTCCATATCAGGCCCTGAGAATCTCTCCAACTAGGCTTCCCAGAATTCTGCCTTTGCCTCCCTCTCCCTTGACTTCTACGTTTACCCATCTCATCCCTCCCCTCCTCCTCTCTAAGACCCAGCTAAAGCCCTCCTCCTCCAGGAAGCCTTCCCAGACCACCCCAGCTCTGTGGCTTTGGGTGGCATCCCCTGCTCCGTCCCTGTTTAGTGCTCAGCTTGTTGGCTGGTGGGGACAAGCTGAGGGAGACTCACTTGGTAGACGGAGACCCCTGCGGGGGTACCTTCGAGCACCTCAGCCACAAAAGGCAGGTTCTGAAAGGTGGGGTCATTGTCATTGAGGTCCAAGAGGTTCACAAACACCGTGGCACTGCTGGTGGCTCTCAGAGGGGGCCTGCCACCTGGGGGCAGCGGGGAGCGAGAGGGGAGGGTAAGACAGGTGCGGGAGGAAAGGGACAGGGAGGAGGGTGAGCGGGGAGAGGGTGACAGAGCACCTTCCACCCTGATGGTCCCCCAGGAAGCAGCCTGGGCCTGGCACCCCCTCCCCAGGCCATCCGCCCCTCGGGGTGCTCTGGGGGACCGCAACTGGGACGTGGGTATGACTCTACTCCGAGTGATCAGACACAGCCCTCCTGGGTAGGCCCTAGGGGACCCCAGAGGACCAGCCACTGGGGGGCGTCCACAGGCCCGAGTCAAGGGCCACGGCCCAAGGTGCGGGGGGCGGTGAGGGGTATGGTGAGGGGTGCGGGGGGTCCGTACAGTCAGTGACAGAGACCACGATCTTGCGCATCAGCTCGGCCTCGTGGGGGTCGGGGTTCTCCCGGTCCAGCATGACGTGGGTGGTGCGGATCTTGCCCGTGGTGCTGTTGAGGCTGTAGAACTTGTTGGGCGGCTGGATGCTGTACACCAGCGTGCCGTTCTCGCCCAGGTCCGGGTCCACAGCCACCACCTGCCGGCGAGGAGCAGACCCCTTCACTGAGCCCAGCCCCGGCAGGGTGTCTCTGGGCCTGCGGGGTGTGTGAGCTCACACGTTGGTCCCGGGCACTGGGCCTCCCTCCTGGCCCAGCGACGGGGTCTGACCAGCACTGGGAGGCAGGAGGTTCGGACAACGAACAAGCAGTGGGAGCCTTGTGCTCTCTGGCAACACCCGTCAGTTTTGACCACAGGCAAGTCCCTTTCTCCAGTTAAGCCCGGCCCCCCGATCTGTAAAAGTGGGGTGGTAACCCTGCCTCGCCACTGGTGACCTGACAGCACCTAGCACACACCTGCACACAGCAGCCACCGGTGTCTCATGAGCGCCAGGTCATCTCCACCTACTTTGCCAGCAACCCTATGAGGCAGAAACCTGTCATTGTGCCCGTTTCACAGATGAGGCCCAGTGAGGCTCCCAAGGTCTCAAGGCCAGGAAGTGGCAGAGCTGGGACTCCACCCGCTACACAGCACTACAGCACAGCTTTGTGTCCTTCCTCTCCAAACGTGCAGGGTGATATGTCCATGGGCTCTGGGAGAGCAGGGGCCCCCAGCAGGTCCCTGACCAGGGAATTCTCCAGAGTGGGGGCTGGGAAGGGCTGTGGAGTCCCTGTGCCCTTGGCTGAGGTTTTGAAACGATTTGAAGCCCTGGGTTTTGGAGACTGGGTTCCTCCTCATCCAACCCTCCCCTCCTTCCTTTGGAGCTTTTGACTGTGAGGGGATCTGAAAAGAACGGGCCCCTGCGGCCCCAGGGATGACAGGCATGTGGCGGGAGCCATGGGCCGGGCCCTCGTTTGGAAGGTGGGACCCAGCGAGTTGGGACGGTCATGGGGCTGGGAGGAGGCGTGGAGGAGGGACAGGGCTGAGCCTCCCTGGAAGGGAGAGACACTCCCCTGGCCCCTCGACTCTCTGCCCACCTCCCGGCTCCCCACTTACAAGCCCCCACCCCGTGAAGGGGCCAATGCTCAGTGCTGTCCCAACCACAGTCTGCTGTCCCTTAGGTTCCCAGAGCCTGGCAAAGGGCCATCTGAGGTCTCCCAGGGCTCCTTGTCCTCGCCGAGGTCCCCTGTGCCCGGCAGTCCCCTGCCCTGTAGGGGAGCTCTCTAACCATCCACAAGAGGAAAGCAGAGCCCAGAGAGGCACAGGCCAGACTCAGAGTCACACAGCACCAGCCCTGAAGCCGACCCAGCCTGGAGGGTCCTCGAGGACCAGGACAGCAGCGGCCCTCACCCCTAGCTCACCGCCCCCACCAGAGGCGGACAGATCAACGGGGGGAGGGGACCACAGTCCCTGGGGCCGCATCAGGACAGTGTCATTCTTAACTCCAGGACACTCGGTGATGACAGCTCCTTCATCTTACTTGATGTGGGGCCTTTTGTGCTGTGGCAGCAGAATTTGTCCCTCCTCTGGCTTCATCCCCAGCTGGAGGTGTCTCTGGGGCCACCAGACCAGAACAGACAGATGGGCTCCGTGGCTGACAAAGCCTATCTGCCCCCCTCCCTGGCCCCGGGGAGGCTAGTGAGAGAGGCCCATGCAGGGGCGGAAGCCTGCACCACCCTAGGCCCGCTTCTGCTTCGGGGAGGTGGGATGCAGCCCCTGCTCCCGTCTCAGACTGCTCTGCCCACCCCTCTCTGCTGCCAGCCTTGCAGCACCAAGCGAGAGGGGAGGGGTAGTCCCTGCCTTCATCATGCTGTGAACACGTTGCCTCAGTTTGCCCAGCCTCCATAAAGGGGGCCCCACCACCCCCATTTTGCAAACAGGAGATGGGACTCTTAGGCACTCCAGGCATAACTCAAAGCAGGCAAAGTCATTTTACTGATGGACAAGGAAGACCAGCACCCCTACATTTCTGCAATGCTTCTCTCAACAGTTAGAGGAGGGAGAGATTTTTTATACCCATTTTTCTGGATAAACAAACCGAGGTATGGAGCAGTTAAATGACCTGCTCCAGGTCAGCAGCCTGTTGCTGAACGTGCTGGGATCAATTTCACATGGGAGGGGGGTCCTCCACTTCTCTCCCTTCTCCCCGACCGCCCCCGCCACTGCCGGAGAGTGCCTGGGGTAGCCGCTTCCAAGTGGCCCTGGTCTGGGGTTGGGCACTGATCTCAGGCCTCTCGGCCCACTCCCCGGTCACAGGGTGGGTTGGGGGCTTGGAGCGGGGGCCGTGACCCCTCCCGAAGACTCCCTGCTGGGCAATTCTGTAGAATCTGACCACTTTCCCCTCATTTATTTTCCATTTCACGCTCGTCATTTTTCTCCTGGCCTGACGGGGAATAATTCTCTCCCTCTCCCCTCTCCTTCATTTTGCCGGAGGGCTTTGAAAGGTTCTAAATCAATGCCCATCAGCCAGGCCCTTGAAGGAGGCCGCAGGAGTCAGGAGGGAGGTGGGACCGGAATCCCACCTGCAGAGGAGCTCGGCTGTGCAGGGGACGTCCTCGGTGCCCACGCGCCAGGCCACACCTGGCCCACACAGATGCACACCCGACCCCGGACGCACCTCAGTGAAGGCACGCGTGGGCACACACTTGGCCGCACACACGCTCTGAACAGTCCCCGGGATGCCCCTGTGCCTCAGGCTCTGGGGGCTGTGGCCAGCGCCCCCTCTGGAAGGGGCTCTTGGGAAAGTCCTGGGCCACACCTCGTCTCCCTTCGACCAGGCAGAGCCAGCCCCGGCCTGGCAGAGCCGGGCCGAGTGGGAGAGGGGAGGAAAGGTTAGATGTTCGGCAGCCGAACAAGCCCGCAACAGCAAATATTTTGGACACCTACAATGTGCCTGGCACTGTGCTAGGCAGCGTGGCTCACACCGAACAAGACAGGTGTGATTCCAGCATGATGATGATGATGATGATGACGACAGCTACCATTTATTGCCCACGCACCATGCACCTGTGCTTTCTGCATTTCGGCTCATTCGAGTACTGACCACAACTCTATCAGGTGGGCACTGGTTCTAGCTCCATTTTCTAGATGACAAGACTGGAGCACAGAGAGGCTGCGTAGCTTGCTCAAGGTCTCACAGCTGGTAAGTGTCCACACAGGGGCAGCAGAGAGCACCCACCAAAAAGCCCAAGAGAGTTGTGCAAATGGCCCAGGGCAGTGGTTTTGAGACCTGGCCCTGAGCTAGAAGGAATCCCCCCATCAGGGGCTTTGAAAAATCAAGATTTTTCTTCCCTAGAATGCTGGTCTCATCATCTCTCATCCCTGCCCTGCTCCACTGGACTCTCTGGGAGGGGACACCCATACGCCAGTCAGATCTTGAACACGTGGAAAGGTGGACAGGACAGGTGTGATGGCCAACCCTTTCTGCCCTCTCTTTGACCTTCCTTCCAGGTTGGCCCCTCTCCCACCTAGCCCCAGGTGGACCTGGCTGCTACTGGGCGTGCTTGATGAGGGGCCGGGTAGGCACCACCAGCCCAAGGTTACTGGATGCAAAATCTACCATCTAAGTTCTCCACTTCCTCAAGACCTGGGCCACCTGCTAGGGCACCTTCTGAGCCAGCACAGGTATAAGGACTGGGCCAGGTAATTCTCTAATGCCTTGCCTCAAGGTAAGACAGATCTGGGTTCAAGTCCCGACACCACCTCTTACTAGCTCTGCAACCTTGGGCAAATCTCTTGAGCTCTGTCTCCATCTCCTCCACAGCGAGATGGGGCAGAATCCCTCTGCCCCGTAGGATTATTACGGGGGTGAGAGAGAACTCACGAGAAGACCCTGGTACCGGGTAGGGCATGTCCCAGGCGTTCAGTGAATGGGGCTGGCATGAGCTGTCAGGATTCATGTCCCTCTCGGGGCCGGGTGGGTGGCAGTGGGGCTGGCCATTTGGAGACAAGCCTCCCCAAATGAGGCCAAATGGGATGCCAGGCTGGGAGGAGGAGAAGGCTTACAAACAGGACTCTCGGAACTGAGCGGATCCAGTGGGCACTCGACCCTGGCTTTCCTAAGCTTCCCCATAAGGCCGGTCTCCCATGCGGATGCCCGGTGGCTCTGGCTATGTCTCCTCTCCGCAGCCCAAGTCACATCCCCGCACATAGGCACCGCAACTTCCCTGCACACAAAACACTCAGGGGCCTGTGCAAGCCTGGCAAATCCCGTGCCAGAAAGTTCCTGGGTGAACTTCAAGCCCCCTGCTGGGGCAGCCTTGGGGTCCAGCCTGTGGGGGAGCCGGCCCTGGCTGACGGCGCAGGGACAGGGTAGCGAGGGAAAAGCACTGGGGTAGAGCTAGAGCCTGCACCGTCCGAGTGTGGGGCTCTCCTGAGGGGTGGCCAGAGTCCGCGGTCTCGGGGCACGAGCGGCTTACAAGGGGAAGCAGCCCGAGCTCCCCTGGCACTGTCCTGGGCTGCCTGCAGCTCCCATGATGAAGGCTGGAGCCCACTGACACTGGAGGCTGGTGAGGGCTGACCTCGACCTCCACCTGCCTTTCACCACGCAAGAGAGCTTCCAGAACGCCAGGTCCATCAGCCCCGCATGGGCGGGCCCACAGGGCACACAGCCCTGGGAAGGGCCCCCTGGCGGCTCTGCTGCCCCCACCTACCGTGGTCACATCCGAGTCGGGAGGCGTCATCTCCACCAGGTTGATGTAGTAGGGGGCATCCTTCCATGTGGGGTGGTTGTCATTGATGTCCAGGAGGGTGATGTTCACCTGCGGGGCCACAAGGGGCGCTGTGGAACGCACCTGGCTGATCAGGCCCAGGCGGGGCCCCCAGGGGGTGGCACTGGGATGCCCACCGGCCACCTGGGCATTGACTCCACCAGCTCCACCAACTCTGGTAGCCTCGGGCAGGGCCTGGGCTTTCTGGGACAGGAGCGGGCCAGGCCCCTTCAGGAGACAGGCTTTAGGTGCTGTCCCCTCAGGAGGAAGAGGAACGGACGCGGTGACCCCTGAAATCCTTGCTATGACCTGGGACTTCTCCTGTGCTGAGACCCCCCCCCCCCCCGTCTCAGCTGAAGATGACTGAGAGGGTGGGGGATCGCACAGAATCCCTGAGCTTCCCAGTCTCAGCTAAAGCCAAGCAATTTCCCTGCTCACCTGCACCAGGTAAATTATTTATGGGGCTCCCATTCCTATTAGCAGGGGCCTCTCCTGACAGAGGAGGGCACTGGGGACTTTTCTGCCTGCCAAGTCGCAGGCGGAGTGATGCCAGCCCCGGCCCCTCCGGCTGTGGCGGGGAGGGGGAGGGCATGGAGGAAGGTCGAGAGACAGTTCCGAGGGAGACCCAAAACCCCAAACGGGGACGAGAAGGAGAGGTGGCTCTAGTGACCTGTCAGTGGTCCTCCTGCTTCTCGCTCTCCCCATTCCCCTCTGCAGCCGAGAGCACATTCAGGCCCCCACGTCCCTCCTCTAGCGTTCTCCTCCCGGGCGCAGTGGTGGGAGGGGCGACGAGACCACGGACGGGGGCTCTGGGCCTCCACTGGTCCTAGACCTCATGGTAGGGAAACCGAGGCATCATTTCTCAGCATTGCAAGGACTGGATGGGCAGTGACAAAGCCCCAGAGACCCTCCGGGGCCCTGCTTCCCGCCCTGGGCTGCTCTTTCCAGCAGGAATGCTGCTTCTGTTTCTGGCAGGTGCCAAGGCAGGGGCGTGCATGCCTCTGCCACCTGCCCAAGTGGCCTTGGGGGGCAGGAGAGAAAGTATTTCACTTTGCTCCTCCCGAATGCCCCACGTCCCAGGTGGCAAGGTCCTCCTGCCCGACAGCTGTGGTGGCCCCCAGGCTGACCTCAGCTGATGACGAGTTGGCACCTGCCCCCGCACTCACTCCCACAGTGCTTGGGACACAGGGGCCCACAGGTTGGAGGTGACCTGGGAACAGTGGCCTGGGGCACTCACGGTGGCGATGCCAGTTTTCTGGTTGTGGCCCACACCCCCGTCCACTGCCCGGACGATGAGGATGTACTCAGACTTGATCTCTCGGTCCAGCAGGGACGTGGTGGTGATCTCCCCTGCCGGAGGGAGAAGAGCGTGGGTGAGAGGGTTTGGGGGGCGGGGGGCCAGGGCGAGAGCACGCTGTTGGGGACGTGGTGAGGGGGAAGCACCCGCGCCCTGGGCACTTTAACCCCGTGCGGAGGAGGTGTTACACCTGGGGAGGTGGGGACTCGAGGCCACTCAGGGGAAAGGCTGGAGAAGAGGGCAGGAGGGCCTTGAACTCCGCCACAGGGCACCTCTTGCCTAGACTTTGACATTGTCTTACGGGCCTCATCACCTGGAACTAGTTACTTAAATCCTCTGTGCCTCAGTTTCCCCATATGGTCAAAAGGGAACAATAATAGGACCTACCTCATAGGGCTGCTGTGGGATTAATTTAGTTAATATTGTGGAAATCTCAGGACAGTGCCCGGCATTGTTTATTTATACAGTCACAGAAATACGACAGGAAGGAAAAGCACCAGCGGTTCATACGTGTTCTCACTGGTGACTCGTTATTGGACAGTCCGACCTACAGTGCGTTGAGAATTAATAGTTCCAAACTAATTTCCTAATTATGCTGTGAATGGCATAATTATATTGCCTTGGAATTTTTTTTAGCATGTAAATACGTTATTCTGCTAAATATGAACAGTTAATATAAACCGCTTTTTTTGTCAGCTCGTGTTTGACGTTTGTGTGTCAGCGTAACCGAAATGCGGGTGTCACCTGGTAGTGATGTGCAGGTGACTCTTTGACAACCGACTTCCCAAAAGAAAAATAAAAGCCACTTGCTCAAGTCCACTGTGTAAATACTCCCTCCAGGGCCCATCTATGCTAGCAAGTGGATGGGGTTGAACACGGAGCTCACGATCAAGCACACGGTCGGTGCTTGGGGGCAGGTGGGCCAGTGTAGGTGTCCCTGGCACTGTCGTCACAGCCAGGCCATTTGCCATCTCTCACCAGCGTGGGAGAGACAAGGAGACCCATGTTTGAATTCTGATCATGGCCCTTCCCAGACGCCTGGCCTTGGGAAATTTATTTCATTTCTTTGAGCCTTAGTCTTCTCATCTATAAAATGGAGATCAGTGTGACTTCCGATCAGGGGTGTCGTGAGGCTGAAATAACTATAGGTGAACTCCCAGCACTCCGAAAATGATTGTTTCCTTCCCATGGACTGTGAGTGTTCCTCACGGGCAGGGACTATGTACTGCCCACTTTTTCATGCCTGTCGCCTGAGCTGTGTGACCTGGGGCAAGTTGCTTAACATCTCTGTGCTTGGTTTCTTCTACCGTAAAACCAGGAAGCTGGGCCAGACGGTCCCTGGGACCGCTTCCACCCTGACACTTCCCTCGCTGACATGCTGGCTTGTCCTCTGGCCCGTGCAGGGCTGAGCCAGGAGCTGGGGGCGGGGGACGGGGCAGTGCAGGGGTCAAAGCCAGGAACGGAAGACTGGCCAAGGTCTGCCCAACAAGCCACACTCCCTGCCGGGGTGGTGTCGATTAATTGGCAGGGCGAGGAAGAAATTAATCTCTAAAAAGTTTTAAACGTGAACTTGTCGGCGTGATGGATGGCCTCCCTTGTCTGGGAAATTAGATCCAATTAGGCCACCTTTGTGCAGCGGGCCTGGCTGACGTGACCGAGTTGCTCCGAGGAAAACTCACACCTCTGGAGTGGCAGAAGCTGTATTAAGGCAGCAGGAAAATATCCGTGTCCTCGTCAAAGGGCCTAGGTGTTGCTGCGGCCCCGACTGGGGGGAAGGGGAGCGGCCGACAGGGGCTGAACGTGGAGCTCACCATCAAGCTCATGGCTGCACCTGGGTGGCGGGACGCAGCGTCTGGCGTCTGGGCTCTGGAGTCCAAAGTTCTCCTTCTGTGAGTTCTTGGTCAAGTTGCCTAACCTCTCCCGTGCCTCAGTTTCCTCACTTGGAAAAGGGGATGATGCCAGTAACTGCCTTGCAGAGTGGGGAGGAGGGTGGGATGAGATGACGCTGGTCGGGCCACTTAGCACAGTGCTGGGCACGTGGTTATAGTCATGTGGAAAAGAGGCAGGAAGGCCCCGTTTTCTCAGGGGTGGGAGGAGAGGCTCATCATGGCCGGATCCCCCCTCCTCAGTCTTCGCACACATCAGCACCAGTTGTCTTCTCCCTGAGCTTCCAGGGAAAGCAGACGAAAGAGGGAGGGAGGCTGACTTCAACCAGGGAGGGTGGGATAGCAGGAAGACCTAATGCCCTGCTGGGCTGTTGGCACATGTGGCAGGAATGGCCAGTGCCCACCAAAGCTTCCTGCTCCCTTCCCTGGGTGGAATTATTGCAGGAGAGTGGCTGCCAGGCAGGGCCTGTGCTCCCAGCCTTCCCTGCATCTGGGCAGGCCACTGACGGGTATGGCCGATGGGATGCAGGCAAAAGTGACACATGTCACTTCCAGGCCTGACCCGTAGCTTCCCTCCTCCTGGCTTAGTACTCCAAGTTCCCCTTTCCCTTCTGCAGGGACCTTGGAGCCACAACATGGAAGGAGCCTGGGTCCCAGGATCATCCTGTGGAAGGCTGTCCACTGAACATCTGTGTTGGACTACTGGAAGAATGATTAATAGAATTTGTATTGTTTTAAGCCACTGAGATGTCAGGGTTTACCTGTTTGGCATCTAGAGTTCCCTTAACTCATACAGAAATGAGTACTTGGAAATGGGGTGCGTTGTACACCCACTAAGCTGACTTGGAACCCCATGAGGGCAGGGCTCAGTTGTACTCCTTGCTGTACCCCGGCACCTAGCGTAGCACCTGGCTCAGGGCAGGCCCCGTGATTTCTGAATGAATGTGCAGGGGTCCCAGGTTCCTTCCCAGGTCTGGCTAAAAAGCCCGGGTCTCTTGTTGCTTCTTTCTGCCCCCTTTCCTCCCAGCTTCCAGGAGGAGAGAAAGTGGGAGGGAGGCACATGGAGAGATGAAGAGGAAAGAAGAGAGGGACATGGGCTGAGCAGGGAGTCTGGGTGGGGGGGTCTTAGGTGACTAAACAAAAAAGAATAATGATAGTAATATTTTTAGCACTTATTAAATGCCAGGGATTATTATAAATTTGTTCCCTGTAAGAATTCATTTAATCCATACAACAGCTCCAATATGATCATCCTCCTTTTGCAGGTGGGGAAACGGAGGCACAGAACCTATGTAAGAAGACGAGCCAGGATTCGAGAAGGAGGTCGATAGCTGAGGGAGGGGGACACTTGGGCTTGAATAAAGGTGTCCCCAAAGAGTAGTGTGTTAACCAGCTGTTTGTAAAACGGAACACATTTGAAACATAATAGGACTCTTCACCCTTGAAAGACATCCTTTAGTGGATAAATTCATGTTGTGATTTTTTTGGGTAAGAGCAGCAATCACACTCAAATGAATATTTCAGGGATAGGACTGGGTGCTCAAGGCTGGTTTGCTCGACACCGAAAGGGAGGGGACCCTGGCCCCAAGGCTGGTCCCGGGGCTGGGTAGGGACAGTCAGCTGAGGTGACAAGGACAGGTGCTGGGCGGGGTGGAGGCTCACCGGAGCGGGCGTTGATCCGAAACTGGGAGGAGCCCTCCAGGGAGTAGATGATGGACTCCTGGCCGTACTCCCGGGAGCGGTCCAGGTCCGTGGCGTTCAGGAACAGCACTGTGGCTCCTTCCGGAGATAAAGGAGGGAGGAGTGCCGCTCAGCCGGGGTCCCGGGCTCACAGCCCCAGGCCCGGGAGCAGCACAGGGAAGCCTCCGTGACCAGCTCTCAGGAGGCGGGAAGCCTGTCTGCTGGGTGCCCCAGGATGAGTGCGCTCATGCACGGCACCTGTGGCCCCGGTCCTGGGCGGACTGGGCCCTGCCCTGTCCTCACTAGCCTCCTCCCCTGCTGGCCCGGCCGCATGGAGGGCACCACGGCCTCTCCTTGGGCCCTGCCTGGCCGGCTGGCCGGCACAACAGATACACTCAGATCAACCAGCCTTTATTTTAAGGCAAAAAGAAATGAAGTTCCATATTAAATATTCTACATTTATTGTATTCAATTTTGGCCTCGTTTTATCTTGATCACTGGGGAATTTATAGTGGTTTTATTTTCTCTTTAATGTCCAGTTACAGCCTTCACCTTCATTTCCAGCTCTGTGGATCCCGGCTCGGGGGATCAGTTGTTCCGGCTGCCCTGTCCAGCCCTGGGAGCAGCATGTCCTGAGGCTATGCCCACAGGGCTGTCAGCCCCAGCCCCTCCTGCCACCCTCATGCCAGCTGGGCTGGCGAGAGGGCTCAGTGTACTCCTGGAGTCGTCACTCCACGGCTGGGAGCCCACCGGACCTCACAGGTGCCTTAACGAGCCTGAGCCTCAGCCTCCTTCCCTGCACACGGGTCTAATAGTAATGCGTACCCCATGGGGGTGCTGTGGGGGGTGAGGGGCCCAGGGGACACAGCCTGCAGGGTACAGCTTTGCTGCTGTGAGCACCCACTGGGCAGCAGAGACAGGGTTACTACCCTGATGAACCAGTAGGCCCTGGGGGAAGGGGCCAGCAGGGGCTGGAGATTGGCAGGGCATGGTGGCCCGTCCAGGCAGCCCTGGGGCCTTGAACATGACCCTTGGGCTGGCTCTGAGCAGGAGGACTAGCACATGAGCTCTAATGCAGCCCTTCATCCGAGCACTCCAATGTGGCTCAGTGAAGGCCTCTCCTTGGCAGAGCCTGGGGATGGTGGACAGTGCGGGTCCCTTTACCCGTGACATTCTCCAGGGGATGCCTGACACAAAGGGTGGGCTGGGTGCCACCGAAGACCCACCAGCTCATCATCAGGAACCACAGGGATCCCAGAGGTTTTTTAGAAGGCTCTGTGGTGCCACGGAAGGCAATTCATGACTCCAACTGTCCCCTAACTCCACTGTCCCCTGACCCACTGTCCCTGACTCCAGCTATCCCTGATCCCAATGTCCCCTGAATCCACCATCCCCAACTCCACTGTCCCTGACTCCAGCTGTCCCTGACACCAGCTGTCCCTGACACCAGCTGTCCCCTTTCCCCTCAGCTGCTCTACCAGTTCCTGACATAGGACAGTCCACACTTGGTGTAAGAGTGACACTGCCAGCCTGCCCCAAAGACAGAGCAGATTCCCTGGAGTCTGAGCACAGAGCTAGGGGTCCTGGGGCTGCAAGTGGGTCCCTGCCACCTGGGGCCTGGACCCGGGATGAGCTTCTCATTCTCAGCCTTACATAGGAACACACACCATCTCTCAAAGCCACCCCCTCTGAAATCATGGCCCCTGGGACCTGCCTCCCAGCCCTCTAGTCCCAGAACTCTCTGCACACTCTAGACGGTTTAGTCCAGATTGCTTAACTAATCAGCCATCAGTATATTCCTCCCCCTAGACTGTCGCTGCAGGAGGGCCGGGACCAGGCGCCCAGAGCATCTGCACACGGGAGGTGCACTGTGCAAGCTGCTGCCTGACAGATAAGTACATGTCTCCAAAGCCTCCCTGAACTGTCACAGGATTCCTGGCCTGGGAACAGATACAGAAAGCCATGGACCTCCCTGGATTTTTGTGCAAAGCTGGGGTTTGTACACCGCAGGGGCCATGCCTGCTGCTGCCTGCATTCACGTCCCCCTGCCCCAGCCCCGTGCCCCAGCCCCCACTGCACCCAGGCCCTACCTGCCATGATGTTCTCCACCACGGAGACAAAGTAGGCAGGCTTGCTGAAGGTGGGAGGGTTGTCATTCTCATCCTGGAAGGAAAACGGGCAGGCTGCAGGACCCAGGGAGGCAGCTGGGCTGGCCAGCTGTCCACGGCGGGCACCCAGGGGTCAGGCTGGGCCCAGCTGGCACTGAGGAACTCTGGCCTCTACGTGTAACCAGAGCCAGGTGGGTGTTATGAGAGGGTCAGGAGTCCCTCTTGCAGGCTGTGGTTCAAGGGGGTGGGACAGGCCTTGGGGAAGTGTGCAGGGCTCAGGAAGGGACAGTGAGGGACAGGACGACAGGGAAATGGAGAATGAAGGCAGCACTGGGACTGCCGACCACTCCCTGCTCCCTTGCTCTCCCGGGTCTTCCAGCTGAGCTCCAAGCACCCACCCTCAGATCTCCAGCCCCTGACACTGGGGGCGCCCATTTGGACCTCCCGCCCAGTTCAGCCAAGATGATGGTGGAAGGTTCTAGGGCTCTTCCAGAATGAAAGGAGAAAGGAGCACCCCACCTCACAGATACTAAAGTTTGCAGTGGCAGGCCAGGGTCAGGCGGTCCCAGAGCCTGGCTCCTGCTGGGGCTGACGGCAGGCAGGTGCAGCCAGACCCCTTGTCTCGAACAAGAACACAGCTCCTCTACCCGCTGGGCGAACCCGGGCCCAGACCCCACCCTGTCAGCTCTGGGGCAGTGCCTCCTCCCTTCCTGCCTTCGCCAGGGGCAGGGGACGGCTTGGCTGAGGGGCTGAGCAGGGCCAGGTGAGGTGGCCCTGTCTCCAGGGAACTGGAGCCCAGTTGCAGCCTCTGCCCCTCCTGCCCGGCTGCACCTCCACTCCTGGCCTCTCCTCTTCAATAAGAAGAGGCTTCCTGCCCCTTACAATGGTCAGCCCCCTGTCCCCAAGAGCCTGGTGCTGGGCTCCGGAGTCAGGCTGAGTCCCAGCCCCCCTGGGCAGTTTTTATGCTACAGATCTTCAGTGGTTTGTGCTCTGAAGCCTCATGTCAGGGGAACTGAGAGCTCTTTGAGGGAGTGACCCTGTACTAAGCCTCTTCTGCTGGACTGGCTCTGGCTGAGCAATCCTGGGAGAGACGGGTGCCAGTATCTGGCCCCCACCCCTTGGGACGTCAGAGAATCCAGCCGGCCAGGATCGTGGCTACCCAGAAAAGAATGGTCCTCTTCCTCTCCAATCTGTCCCCTGGCTCTGGCCTGCGCACAGCTCCTGTGACCTGTCCCTCTCCCAGGATAACGGGCAGCCTCAGGACCCCCTCAGCAGCATGCCTGGGCATCTCCCTGGCGCCTGGTCCCTGGCCCATGGCGCGGGCACGAGTGCCCCATATACTTAGACATTTAAGCTTCTGCTTGGCTGCACGAAACAGTGCCGAGAATGTCAGTGACGGAGCGTGAGGCAGAAACTTATTAGTGGTGATATTTCCCCGGATCTTGGCGCTGCATTCGCTATTAGTTCTAATTCAGCGGCTCCCTCTACAAAAGCTTATTGTCCCCTAATGGGAAATCTACAAACCGAGTTTGACTTCTTTATTAAAAACCAACAAGCAGTGGATGAAAAGGAATCACCGGGCTCCTTGCTCCCCCGCCTCCTGGAGCCCTGTCATTTCCATCCGCCTGTCCCCACCCCCAACCTGTGCGGTAAGTGCAGCCATCGCTCCTTCATCTCTGCTGGGCTTGTTGGTTTTTTTTCTTTTTTTTCTTCAGCTGAGAGAAAATTCTTTTGGCGGAGGGAGGAGGCAGCTTAGCCGAGTGACAGCTACTTAGAAACCACCCATGTGCAAAATAAACCCAAAGTCGGTGACCTTTTCAAGTGTGGTCCTTAGACACAAGTGACTGTGCCCTCTGAAAACCTTGCTCGAGAGACAATGCTCACTCACAGCCGAGGTGGCACCTGTCTTCGCTGTCAGACCTTCCTGCCGCCCCGGGGTCAGGGCTGGCCCCTGCTGACCCCGTGACGGCTCTGCGGGGATTTGAAAGTGGGGCCCCTTCTGCGGGACCGCTGCAGTTCCATGCGGGGACAGCGCGTAGCTTGCTGAATCGCAAGCGAGGGGGGTTCCTGCCCCCGCACGCCCCTGGGCATGGGCGCTCTGCTCTCTGGTACCAGGGAGGGGCCTGCTGGTCGCTCTTCCACTTGCAGTGGATAAAAGGCCAGGTCAGCCCTTTGGCCTTCCTCTTCCTGCCTGCTCTGGCCCCTTGGAGGGGCTGAGGCAAAAAGAGATGCCAGGTCCCTTCCTTAACTGAGCCACAGGCTGGGAAGGGTCTGGGGTCTGGGGCAGAACCTGGGTCTCAGACTCTCCTGAGGGCAGATCTTCGAAGGCTTTGCTGCTCAAAGTGTGGTCCCCTGACCAGGGGCGTAGGAATCAGGCCTGGGAGCTCATCAGAAATGTAGACTCTCGGCCTTACGTCAGACCCCCTAAATAAGCATTTTATCATAAGATCCTTAGATAGTTCAGGTGCACAGGAGACTCTGAGAAGCACTGGTCTCAGTCACAGATGGAGGGGGACTCCCCAGGCTCCAGGCCTGTGGCTGTGGCAGAAAGAATGTCATCGCAGGAGTCATTGAGGTCAGGGTTCAGATCCTAGTCCTGCCACTTACTAGTGGGAAGTGAGGAAGGCCCTGGTCACCAGGGGCCAGCTACGTTCCCTCCCTGAGTCTCAGCTTCCTCATCTGTAAAATGAGATTGTACGGGACTGGGGGAAGTGAAGCCCCTGGCACCTTGCTGGGGCTCAAGTGCTAGTTGCCATGTGGCTGCCTGGGCCACCCAGCCCTGTGCTGGTGGAAAACACTTCAGCTGATTCCCCTAGACCTCCCTACCCTTACCCTCTTCTGTGTCTGTCTCCCAAAGCCTAGCGGGCTCCCGTCTGCACCAGCTTGTCTCTAAAGTCCCCCTTGCACTAGTGACAGGCTAGGGCATGGTCGTTGCTGGTGGTACGCATGGCTGTCTCATCAGCTGTGATGATCACCAACATGTCAGGTGCCAGCTGCCACCTGTGTGATCTCATTTCATCCTCACAACAGTATCTTAAGGCAGGTACCATGATTATCCCCCTTTTCTAGATGAGGAAACTGAGTTTCAGAGCCCCAGAGCTGGAAGGTGACAGAGCCGGGCTTCAAACCCACGTGCCTCCGAAGCCATGCCCCTCTTTCCACTCAGCGTCCCTGGGGCGTGGAGCAGGCTTCAAGTTCACCTTCAAGTCCCACTGCTGCTGCTCTGCACGTGGGCGGCGCTCAGTGCCTGCCTGGCCGGAGCAGCATCCGGCTGGCTGGTTGAAGAGTCGGGTGGGTTGGGCAGGGCTGTGAGTGTGGCCAGGATTAGGGGAGTTTGGGGGCTGTGGTCGGGTCACCTGTGTGGTGAAGCCTGTGGCACGTGGTCCCGATGGACAGGAAATGCATTCTAGCTCTTTGGTACCCCTTTGGCGTGCTTAGGTGGGAGGCTGCAGGTTCGAGATGGACAAGTTCTTAGGTGTCTGTGGATTTCCTCTTCTTTGTCTTCCTTCCCCTGACACTCCCTGAGGCCTGAGGTCCCAGACATAAAGAAGACTCTAGAAGCAAGGCCCCAGCTCTCTGCCCTGCTCTTTGCTGTGCCTGGTTCTGTCCTTAAATCCTGCTCTTACCTGCCCACCTGGGGGCTCCTCCTTAGGTATCACCTCCACTTTCACTTCTAGCTCCATCCTATTCAGCGAGCAAACGGCCCCCCCCGGCCCAGACAAGGACCTTTCCACCTGGGACTGGCCCGAGCCAGGGGCAGGGCATGCTTGTGCATGCCAGGGGTGTGTGTGTGTGGAGGGTCTCAGCAGGGACAGGCCAGCTGGCCCCAATGTCAGACCACACTCTGCATCCCATGTGGCATGGGCCAAACGAACCAGTGTGGAGATGGATTCGGCTACTGATAATTTCCGACACAGAAAGCACTAAGGTATGCTTGGTATTCATGTCAGACAAGCTGTGGTTTGATTTCAGACCCCTTCAGATCTTCAGAGGAGTGGGAAAAGGAAGAAAGAAAGGCAGAGGGGGATATATAGAGAAGCAGAAGAGAGAAGAGGACCTTCCAGGAATGGCTTGAACTTCACAGAGCGTGGCCAGAAAGAAAGGAATCCCATGACATTTCCTCCTTGCCTGGCTCCCAGCTCCCATTCCCATCCAAGGGAGTCCTGAGGTCCCCGGATGATGTCAGAGCAGGACAATGTGACTCTTCTTGAGTTTCAGGGCTGGGGCCATCCTTGGCCAAGCTGGGAGGCAGCTCAGTTGCTGCAGCAGGCGCAGAGATTCGCTGGGGCAGGCTTTGGAACAGTCTGCCGGTGACTCTCCTATCCATGGGGACAGCCAAGGACGTGGGGACACACTCCTACACCACTGGGTTCAGGCAGGACCCCTGACACCCTGGGAAGCACTCACTGCTCCTTACCCAGGAAGGGCAAGGCCAGCGCCCTGGGTACTTACAAACACCTCGATGGTGACGGGGACAGTGCTGTTAAGAGGGGGGTTGCCAGCGTCTTTGGCCATGACAGTCAGATATATCAGTCCATTGGGGATCTGTTCGTAATCCAGGGGGCGGCTCACACTGATCACTGCAATGAGAAGAACAGAGCCCGGCAGCCCTGTCAGCAGCCTCAGATGCCTGGCCAGCCAGGCCTCCCCTCTGGGCAGAGGAGATACAGCTGGCATGGCCCAGGGCAGCTCTGCCGTGTTTTCTGGGCACCTGCAACTTAATGGTCTTGTCTTAGGTTTACTGACTGCCTGGTATGTACCAGGCCCTGTGCTGAGCCCACCAGCTGATAACTATTTTGGTGGTAATGAAAGCCCCACTCTTACAGATGAAGAAACCAAGCCCAGAGAGGTTCAGTAACTTGCCCAAGGTCACACAGCTAGCAGCCTAATAGAACTGGGATATGAGCCCAGGTTTGGCTGAATCCAGAGCCCAGACTCCTCCCTAGTAGGCACTACTGCCTGCTTGTCTGTCTGTGTGTCTGTCTGTCTCACACATTCATCTGGCATTTTTCTTTATGTATTTTCCCCATCAGTCTGGAAGCTGCTGTAAGGACAGGGTCATGCCCCAGGCTCTCTAGCCCTGTCCCTGTCACCACCCCTCTCTCCAGATAAGCACAGAGTTCCCCATTTGTTGCCCAGCATTGGGGGTGGCAGGGAAGGCCAGGCAGTGGGTACAGATGGCAGCACCCTCCTTGGCCGCCTCTGGCCCCTTGTGTTTTTCTCTTCTTCCTCCCTCTCTTATCTTCCCTCCCCCACTTTCACCCACGGGCTCTTTGTGCCCATCCAGTGACCCACTGTGGGCACAATTTAGACCCCTTGGGGAGACACTTGGGGGCAGGTGCTGCAGACCTTACCTTCGGCAGAACTCTGTTTGGAGGTGAGGGGAGAACCCTAATGCCAAAGGCATCCCCAGGCGGAGAGGCAGGACTTGCGGGGAGCTAATACAGATACCTCATCCTCAAATGTGCCCACCCCGTGCGTGCCTGGCCTCTCTCCATCAGCACACGTTTGTGCTGAGCCACTGATTCTCAAACGGGGAGGGAAGGCATATTGGCTTGGGAGTGGGGGGCCTGCAAAGGCAGTCTGCACAGGCATTACAACAATATTAAACTGCAACTGTCTATTTGGAAAAGGGAAACAAAATTATTGCTTTAGTAATATAGAACCTAAGGGGGATTCTTCTAGCTGAGAGGAGGGTTAGGGGTGGGGGGTGGGGAGAGGCATGGAACTTTTAAGCTTTTTAAAGAGGGGTATAGATTTTCTAGAGAACACTGGGCTGTGGCCTCTGGGGCCAGGCCTGCAATTTCTACGACGGTGTTTCCCCGACCTCACAGTGGGGCACTGGAGGAAGGAGCACTGGACCTAGAGTCATTCCACACACATCCCTCTGTTCTGCCTAACCCAGTCTTTAAGAACTAGAGAAGTTTCCCAGAGAAGAAGGTGTTAAATGAGCCCTCAAAGCCAGCCAGAGGCTGTAAGCTTAAAAGCCAAAGGTGGGCAGGGAGGAAGGGCTTTCCTGGGAGAAGGAACAGACTCTGCGAAGACATGGAGGTGACCACTGTAAGGGGAGAGAGCGTCGGGGGCTCAAAGAGGCTGGATTCTGGTGGGGAAGGGGTGCTGAGAGGTGAGGCTAGAGAGGCAGCTGAGAGCCAGGTCACACGGGGACCTAGTGCCAAGCTCAGTGGCTTTGCTGGGCAAGTTGCTCCCTATCTCTGGGCCTTAGTTGCTTCATCTGAAACACAAAGTGTTCTCTCTTGGGGTATTGGAGCTTGAGGTTGCTGCTGTTGTTCCCTGCCAGGGCTCTAGGGATCAGCACTCACGGCAGGGCAGGCAGGGAAAGGCCACAGGACCCCCCAAAGAATGGGGGAGCTCAGCTGACAGGCTTCTGCCCCACAGACCTGCCCCAGCAGCCTTGGTAAGAAACAGGGAGTGCCACAGATTCCGGTAACGTCAGACTCCCAGTGTGCCTGCGGGGCTGGCCGGGGGCCTAAGACAGAAAGATCCAGCTGGTGTGAGACACAGAGGTCAACCCTGTGGAAGGGGGACCTCAGGCCACATGCTGCTCCAGCCAGCAGGAGCCCAGGGCAGCCTCCTGAGTCACCCGGGGGTGTCAGGGAGAAAGAAGGGCGCCCACCCCCGCCCCCAGCCCTCCTTCCTGGGCCCAGTCCAGCGCACACAGACCTCCATAGCCCTCGTACACGCTGATGTCGAAGTAGCTGGCAAAGGCGGAGGCGCTGAGGATGCTGTAGGTGATCTGGTTGTTGGGGGGGGAGTCCTCGTCCGTGGCCTGGAAGGGAGAAGACAGATGGGCTCTGAGCTCGCAGAAGGCCTGGGGCCAAAGAGGATGGGCAGGGCTGGCCCCTCTCAGAGCTCCTTTTGGTGGGTGAGCCAGCCCTGGGTCACGCCCTGGCCCAGGACCCCAGGAGGCCCCCTTGTCACTCAGCTGGAGGCCATCCTCTGGCTCCCAGCAGACATCCCACTCCCCTCCAGGTGCGGGGTGTGGAGGAGGCCTGGGAAACCTAGAGGACAGGCAGAGGCCTAGCAAGATGCGGGAGGGGGGCATGTCCCAGAGGCTGGGAGGGTTACCGCCATAGCTGGCGTGACTGTCCCCCATACCCTCCCATCCCAGCTTGAACCCTCCACCCCAGACTGGGTCAGGGTCCTTGGGCTGTGCCCGCATCAGTCCCCTCTCCCCCAACTGTGAGTCCTTATTGAATTTCTGACTGCCTTGCTTAGACCGTCAGCTTCACACGGGCAGGACCCTCATGCCTCCTGCTGCCGCTGCACACCGGGAGGCCGGCACGGTGTCTGGCGCACACTTGCATGAATGCCAGGAGGGAGGAAGGCACTTGGCATGAGGCCAGGGACCCTTCTACCCCTTGACCTTCTTCTGGGGCTGCGGAATTAATTAGCTTCCTTCCAGATTGTCCCCAACCCTAGAGAGCGTCCAGTGGGCCCCACCACTGAGGGCACTTGGAGCCGAGGTGGGGTAGGGGTGGGCATGGTCCTGCGAGGAGCCATGGCCGCGTTGGCAGGCCCGTGCCCACCCCCCCCCCAACACTCGCTTTCATCCCTCCCTGCTTCAGAAACACATTCCCAGCAGAGGCTCTGGGTCCTGTCACTTTGTGTAGGCAGAGAGGGGAAGGGGACGAGGACATTAAGGTCTGTGGTCGGAGGTCATGGAAGCTTGGTGGGTTCTTGCTGCAGGAGGACACTTGGCTGTACCCTGTGGCCTGTGTGGCTCCTTCCAGCTGCGGCACTTCCAGACTGCAGGCAGCCACCAAAGGGCTCTCATGGGGTCCTCACGCAAGGAACCACTGCCACTCAACGTCCTTCCAAGGGGAATGGTGTTGGGGGGATCCTTTTGCTAAATGGTGACCTAAAATTGAAGCTGACGCAGACACTGTGCACGCAGCTCCACTCAGTCACCAGGGACACCAGGTGATGCCCGGAGGACCACAGACCAAGAATTTGACCCCCAAACCTGCGCAGCGGTGGCTTCCCGAGGGGGTGGTCAAGGGGCAGCAGGGGGGAAGGACGAGGCGAATGGCTGGAACGCAGGGCTCCCTGGCACCTTACCCGGAGCCGCACCAGCTGCGTGACAGAAGGCTCGTTCTCTCGCAGGGCACCCACGTAGGCGTCCTTCTGGAACGTGGGCACATTGTCATTGACGTCCAACACGTTGACCCTGACCCGGCCGGTGGTCTCCTCGCCGCCCCCGTCCCGGGCGATGACCGTCAGGGTGAAGCGCTGGATGAGCTCGTAGTCCAGCCTGGCGATGAGCACGATGAGGCCCGTGTCCTTGTCCAGGGAGAACCTGCTCAGGCAGGGAGGGGCGGAGAAAGGACACTGTGTTTAAAGCAGGCTTGTCGATACCAGCCTGCATTTACCAGCCTGTCCTTGCCCAAGGCGTCAAACAGAAATAAATGAAGTCGGAATCTGTCTTCTCTTGCGCTTGCACTGCACGACAATGGCTGTTTGTAAAGGGGGTTGGGGCGTGGGGTGCAGGGACCAGGATCACACGGGGGTGGAATGGTCAGACACATGGTGGAGTTGCCGATTTAACTGAGCAGGAGAGTCAGGCAGAATGACCCTCTTCCTCTGTGAACAGGGGTGTCTCCTTACTGGAGGTATTTAGATGCCAGAGAACTGAGTGTCAGAAATTCTGCCATCCTATATGGCTTTGCAGCCACATGCTCCACCCGGGCAGCAGAGCACCTAGCGAAGGGTGGGGGGTTGGTCCTCTCTGGGGAGCTAGCCCTTGGGTGCGAGGGACTGAGCCTTGCTGGCAAACGTCTCCCAGGGAGCAGCAAGGTCTGGCAGGACTCTCTCTCGAACTGCCTGCTCTGAACGTCCCCTGGAGAGCCTCATCTGAGTTGTCAGTTGACATTTGTGTGCTCTGACCTGGTCCACAACTGCCAGCCACCAAGCCTGGAAGGGTCTGGCTCAGAGATGGGGAAAGGCCCGGGCTCAGAGATGGGAAGAGACGAGAAGGTCCAAGATGATCAAGACAAGGCCACATGAACACGGTCCTCCAAGGGACAGGGTGCCCGGTGCATTCAGCTGTGCTGGTGCCATCTTCCCATTTTGAGGCCCCCATCACAGGGTGGCAGAGAACGGCTCGACTCAGCTAACAAGCTCCCTCCCAGTCCCTGCTTGATCATTCACACACAGAGTTGAGGCCAGTAATTCAAGCTGACAGCCACTGTCTTACTCATTCTGTTGGGCTTCTAAATTCATCAGACACTTGGCCTTAGATCATGTTAAAATGAGGGGGCTTCCCCTTGGCTCGGGCTAACGGAAGACAAGGGAAAGAAATGGCCGGAACCAACCCAGAACCATGTCACCATGGTGGGTGGCAGGGCAAGGCTGGGACAGGCCAGGCGCTGAGGCCATGAACCCACTACGGGCTGCTGCACGATGAGAGCCCCTTCTTGGGGAAGGGAGGCTGTGTATCCTAGTGGTGATGCCCACACGCAGAAGCCTGGCCCTGGCACTGCCAGCTGTGTGACTTTGGGCAAGCGACTCAGCTTCTCTGAGCACAGTTCCGTCATCGGTAAAGCGGGGATGATAACAGTGCCCGGCACCGAGTTCCTCTGGCATTTAGTTGTGAGGATTACACGAGTGAATGCTCGTAAAGCACTTGACAATGCACCTGGCCCACAGCAAGGGTGTCCTAAACGTCACCTGCTGCTGGCGGTAGTGGTGATGGTGGCGTGCAATTGTTAGCACTTCAAAGCCTCACAGAGACACAATTTTCCCCATTCCCAAAGCCAAAGGCCATCTTTTGAGAGCCAGAAAAAATATGCTCCAGTGGGCTGAGGGGCCTTGACCAAGACTATACCACAATCAGGGCCAAACTAGCAACAGTGCTCATAGCTTCTGACTCCCAGTCCGCTGCTCCAGAGCCACTGTCCTCCCTCCCTGGGCACTGAAAGCTTTGAGGACCTCATGAGTAGCCGAGGCCACTGTGGGGTGCTGGGGGCAGAGCCTACCTGTCAGGGTCATCACTGAAGAAGTAGCTGACTTCCCCGAAGGTGCCCACGTCATTGTCTGTTGCCTGCAAAGTTGAGAACAGGAAGTCATTTACTGCCAGACCAGCTGAGAAATGTCCACAGGAAGCCCATGTTCACCCACACAGCTCATCTAGCCCAGGCCATGATGTTCAATAACATTGTCACTGGCCACACATGGCTGTTTAAATTTATATTGGGGAGCACAGTTCTACAGGGTTGGTCTCCTACCAGTAATCTCTAACTGAGTGAAACTGCCCCCTGGACTCAGGCCAGGCCGGGTGGGCTTATTCTCCGCAGATGCTTAGAGGGCTTGGGAGAGAGAGCCTGGCCCTGTGGCCTGGGGTCACAGCCTGCAGTACTGTGACAGGGCACCAGCGATGGTGGGTGTGGCTTCAACCATCTGGTGGTGTCTTCTGGTGACCCTCCCCCAGTGCCTAAAGCCTCCAAGTCAGATGTGCTACCCAGTGGGGCAGGAACCTTGGGGGGTCTGGCCCCCCTCTGTGACCCTGGAAGAATATACTGCATGCACAGGACAGACCCATCTGCCTGGCAACCTTCTCTCCTAGAAGCAATGTCCACCCGTCCCATTCACTGTGTTTGGTCCCTTTCCCTGCTCAAACGGTCTGAGTGGGAGCTGCCTACCCAGCCCCAGTCACAGGGATGGGCCGGGCAGTGGCCCTGGACCACAGCCAGGTCTACTAGAACCCCCTGGGATTCTTCCTATTGTTGCTGGGGGTAAAAGCTTTCCTCCAAGGAGGAGAGTTGGGACGGTGTGAGCTGGGAGCTGCTGGCTGTTTGCGGAGGATGAAGTTGCACACAGAGAAGGCCGGATCCTGGTAGTTTTAGAGCCCTGAACTGATCTGACATCTCTTCCCGCTCTCAGTTTGGTTTATGAGTCCATTGAGTCCACTGAGTGTCCTCTTTTTGGTTTTCATTTTATTTTTTTAGGGACAGGGGTCTTACTGTGTTGCCCAGGCTGGTCTTGAACTCCTGGCTTTAAGTCATCCTCCTGCCTCAGCCTCCCAAAGTGCTGCAATCATAGGCACAAGCCACTATGTCTGGATTGTTGAGACCCCTTTTAACCAGCTGGTGCCAAGTCACTTCCAGTCAAAAGAGACTGAAAGGAGAGGAGCCTGCCTTATGCAGATGATAATGGCAATACTGGTGGTGGCCTACATCACCATCATACCTTTGACATTTTCAGAGAACATCCATGTTTACTATGACCTCATTTATGCTCACAAGCATCCATGTGATGAGAGAGACTGACATTCCCCCATCTCACAGATCACAAAACTGAGGCCCAGCACCCAGTGAGGCCCAGTGTGGGCCTGCTGCCACTCTGGGTTGTGAGCAGGTCAGGAGCAGAGTGGGGTAGAAGCTGGTCTCCCCACCCTGCCTCGTGCTCCTTCCTCGAGGCCACCCCAGTGGGGCCCCCTCCACCTCCTCCCGTCCCCAAGATGACAGCAGATCTAGAAGGGGACGGCTTTTGTGGCTGGGACTGTTGGCTTCCGTGTTGTCCCTGGCATGGTTATAACCCACAGAGCAAGCTAAATGACACCATTTGTTCATTCATTCGTTCAGTAGTTACTTATTAAGTGCAGACTCCATGCCAGGCACTGTCCTAGAGGTGCTCCCTCCCAGGCCACTGCGGGACAAACTGCTGCTTGTGGCCACCAGATGTCAGGAGGGAAAGGCCTCGGACTGACCTTGGGGTTTCACACTCAGGGTTCTTCTACAATTGTAAGTGGATAAAGGCCCTGCTGCTAAAATACGTTTTGATACCTTTGTGCTAAATATTTTATGAGGCTCCTCTTAAGTTTCCTGGATTCTATGAAATGTATTACATTCTATTTTCTTTATGATAAACCTGAATTTTTCAAGGGAAAGCTAATCTGTGTTCAGTATATTCAGTGCAGGAAGACAGGTAAGTGAACAATGCATTTCTATCCCAAATGAATGAAACGAAAAAAGTGTTTATACCCGAAGAGTTAAGATCTCAGTCATCCAGAAAACTTGGCTCTACAGAAGGATGCCATTCCCTGGGGCTCCAGGCTGCCTCTCGAGCCAGATGTCCATTCAGTGTCCCCAGGGCCGGTGTTCCCGTAGACTGTGTGCAGACCTCCGCCACTGCCCTGGCCAGGCCCAGAGCTCGGCTCAGGTTCTCAGGCGATGCACGTCGAACAAGTGATAGGGAGATGCCAAGTGACGTCCCCTGCCCTCCCCGCCAGGACTGGCTCCTCCGTGCTTCCTCAGCCCCTGCCCCAGCTGCTCCTCACGACCACAGCTACTGCGGGTTATTGAGCACCCTATACGTGTTACTCGTTTCATCCTCCTAACAACCCTGTGAGGCAGGTACTATTATCAGTCCCACCTCCAAGTCACAGTTGGAGAAACTGAAGCACAGAGATGATAAATCGCTTGCTCAAGACTTCACGGCTAGAAAAAGAGCAGTGCTGGGGTTTGCCCCCTGTGCCGCCTTGCCCCGCCCCTGGCCCCCATCTGTTATTGCCTCTGAACCAAGCGAGCACTTGTTCTCAGAAGGAAGGGAGCCCGGCTATTCCTAGGGATAGAAGACCACAGCTCCTCACAATAGCCCTTGACCCCATCCTCCCCTTCCGGGGACCCGAGGAGAAGGAGAGAGGGAGGAATCCCAGAGCCCTTCCCACCCCTAAGTTCCACTGACAAATAATCACCACCACGCATGGCATGGCTGCACGGCAGTGACAGCGGCTCGGTCCAGGGAAGAACTGTGATGCCATTGAGCCCACTGAGGGGTCAGCATGGTGTAGAGACCCCAGTTCCAGGCCGATGTCAACAGCCTAGGTCACTGTGTGACCAGACTGCACCCTCTCAGGCCTCATCGTCCTACTTTGTCAAAGGAAAGGGTCTAGGTCAGTCGAGGTGACTCACGCCTGTAATCTTAGCACTCTGGGAGGCCGAGGCAAGAGGAGCCCAGGAGTTCAAGGTTGCAGTGAGCTATGATGGCACCACTGCACTCCAGCCTGGGGGATGGGGCAAGACCATGTCAAAAAAGAAAAAAAAGGAAGACAGAAAGACAAGAAAGAAAGGAAGAAAGAAAAGGTTGGGGAGGGACGAGGTCTAGGTGGCACATGCTGGCCTCAGTGCCCTGCACAGACAGTGGCTGGCACACACAGATGCCTTGCAAATGCTTGAAAAATGAATGCGCAAACTCCAGTGAGAAGAGGGTGGCAGGCAGAGATGCGGATAAAGAACAAGAAGAGAAGATTCAAAAGGAAGGGGAAGATGGTGGAGCGAGCGGGGCAGGGGGAAGGGAAAAATGGGAGGACAGCCAGCTGAGACGCAGGGGCTGAGTGTGCAGGAAGGGACAGGCTGGGCCGGACAAGCCCTCCGTATCTGCCCTACAGAACTGCTCTGGACTGTCGGGGCGGGAAGGACCCTGAGGTGCCCGTCCAATCCCCTCACCCTGGGGCCTGGAGCAGCTGAGGCCCAGGGAAGTTAGGTGGTCAGCCCTGAGGCACAAGCGGGGACTGTCTTGAGCAGAAGACGGCCCCCACCCCCTGGGGCCTGGCCTTCCCTGCCCGGGTTGGGCTGGGCATAGCTGTGGCTCCCACAGTGACCCTGTCTCTTGTGCCTCTTGCTGCCTGCCCAGGCCGCTGAAGCCCAAGCTGACCAGGGAAGATTTGTGAGTCCTTCAGTGCCACCGTGTAATGACCGAGTGAAATATGTATGCCGGGTGGAGAGGAGGAGGGAGAGCGTTCATTTTCAAATGTGTGAAGCAGAATAGGAGATGAACAGCTGCTTCCTGCCCTGCCAGGGTGGGGGCGGTGGCCAGTGGGGACGCTAAGGGCCTCTCGGGGGTATTCAGGCCAGGCTGGGCTGCAGCAGGGCCGCTGGGGCCCTGGGCCCGGGAGGGGCAGCAAACCTGCCCTCAGGGGAAAGCCCCTCCCCCTTACACACACTGTCCGCCTGGCACATCCAGCCCCATCTCTGACCAGACTGGACCCCACACGGCTCCAGGACCCAGCAAGGTGGGGCTCGGGCTCCTGCAAGCACTCGGCAGCCCCAGCCCTGACTCCACGGAGGACTGGAGCTGTGCTCAAGCGTGTCATTCTACACCAGGCGGCTCCCTGAGATGTGCCCAGAAACTAGGACAAGGCCTGGACTCAAAGGCAGCTCGTGAAAGGTACTTTTATCCCTGTCATCTATGCTACATCTGCACCCACATCTATGCGGCACATACAACCGTACAGGTTTAGTTTTACCAAACCCCGGGCAGGTGAGACTGTTACAACCCCACACTCTTTTACCGGTGAGGAAACAGAGACTCGATGATGTTAAGTGACTTGCCCAAGATGTCACAGCTGGGGAGTGGTGGAGCTGGCCTTCACATCCCAGGGTAAACCACTGGCGCCTTGTGGGACAGGCAGCTTGAGCGCTGTGGCCTGCAGCAGCTCCGCAGACACCAGCTGACCCACCCCACAGGGGCTCTGCAGTGGCCGCCCCACTCCGCCTGCCATCGTGCCCGGCCAGTGGTCAGCAGGGGCAGCGCCCTGCTCCATCCCAGCCCCTCTGCTTGTCATGGCACCTTTTAAACAATGTCCTCCCAAGACTTGCTTGTGGCAGACCAACTGAAAGTCCATCAGATGAATAAAGTGACAGACAGGGACGATTGGGGTCCCTTTAGGAAGGAGGCTCTGAGGAGTGGCCAGGGGCCTGTGTATACAGAATAAAATGTTCTCTCCATGCCACGAACACCCCCTCCCCTGCCACATGCTAGGTAGGAGCATGTCTGTCTCCCTGCAGGGTGACTTCTGGGGTCTCCCAGGCCAGTCAGATGCTATGGGGATGGGGGAAGGGGATGGCCAGGCTGGCCACGCCAGGTGGCTCTCAGATTGTACCTGGCGACTCTAAGAAATGCCAAACCAGGGTTTCAGGGGAGGACCTTAACTGTGCTCCAGGCTCCTCCCTCTGATGTCCCTGTGTCTCTGCTACCATCCCACCATGGCTCCCCCAGGCTCTCGGTTGGTGGTCACAAAGCAGGTCTCCAAAGCTCAGGCCT